AATCAAACGAGATTGCAGAAGTCCAAATATTTTTAGGAAAGAATAGAGCTGAGATATCAACCAGAGATGACATATGCAACAAAAACCGGTTAACAAATCAGAAATCATGTTTTAAATTATAGCAAAATGTTAAGCTAATCCAAAAACAGTCTGAAAGTCACATCATACTAAATCAATTAAACAAGCGGGATAATCATATATGGATCATTTCTAAAAAAGATGGCAAAGCAAGGCTATATAGTAGGTTCTCTAAATTAATGAATTAACAATCCCCATCCACCAGGGCACCATGTAAAAATATCATCATTATAATATCAGACCCTACAGACAAATGTATACAGCAGTTACCTCTCTGTTAATAATTAGAAAGCCTTGCCCATCGACCATGTAGGATATCATCATAATTTGATCATATTCAGCATCCGGAAACTTCAACGGAAGCTTTGTTGTCTCTATATCGAAGGCACAAACACGGACTTCTGCGCGTTGAAGAAGATCTGTCCTCTTCTCCAGTATGACATCGGTGCTGGAAATGCTGACATTGTACCATTGCCCACTCCGCACATCTGGACACCAAGAAAACATCATGATTTTGACAATTTTGAGGACAAAACAGAAATTCTGGTTTGGCTAAACAGGATACCATTATCAATTGCAAATCGAACATGATAAGGAACATCGTACTCGCGGAGGTCCACGATAGAGTCTAAGCAATCTTGAGGACGTTGTTCTCTGCGTTCCAAGAATAAAAATAAAAATGATCAGGGAATCTGAAACCCCTGAAAATAAACTTGAAAAATAACTAAGAAACAACTTAGGTTAAGATGTAAAATTTGAAAACCAACAAAACTCTTAAGTGATTTAAAAGGACAAAACTACATTGTCTTACCGTTTTCCAGCCAATATGGATTCGTATGCTTCAAGTGCATCAAATTTTGCCTGGTTTCGTTCGACGATATGCAACAGATCCCTCTTGACTTCCATCAATTGTTGCACAGTATCAAATGATATTTTTAGGTATTTTTTTTGCAGGCCGGATAGATGATTTTTCTGCTCATGAACATAAAAATAAAGAAGCTCAAAACTGGTGTATCACAGAAAAAAAGCTACAAAGAGTAGTCTAAGCGAATTGACAACTAAAAGTACTGAAACCTTCATATCTTGCATACTATTGCACTAAAGGACAATCACTAAACACTTGAAGAAAAGTAACTTTCACATCTACAGCCCATGTTACATACTAGCAAACGACTAGAGATTTCACCTAATTGATTCAAGATCACTTTTGGACTTACTACTACAAGTGTGCAGTTTTTAGGTTACAAGAAGAGGATAATAACTAAAGGTTGTAGCAAATGTTTCTGATATAGGGAGAGAAAACAACAACATTAATCAATTGGTGGAATACACTAGTCAACTAAAGCACACAATGAGGAAGCCAGACTTTTAACTAATAAACAAGGTATACTTTACTGACTTACAAGATCAAGATCCTCTTTTTCAACAATCTCAATATCAGCGACTTGTCTTTCATATCGGCGTCTCAAGTAGGCTTCGACTTCCAATTCCATTTTGTCCTGTAATTCGGCATAGCAGTTTATTGACATATAAAATGATATCAGCGGAGTGATTCAAGGAGCATTCAGATGATATACAGAGAGAAACAATCATACTTTCGTGGCTGCATAGAAGTAAGGGCGGAACTTGTACTTTGTCTTGAAAGAAAACCCGTCCTGAAAAAATCCTCAACTCAGTTAACTATTTAGAAAAATGCAACAACAAAAATATATAAATGTTCATCAACTAATACGAAGCTGACATAGTAATGACCATAAATATAGCAGCTCACCTGAGTAACAAAGTAAAGATCTACACAACTATAGACTTTCCCAGTATCGCGATCTTCCCAAGATGACTGCAAAACGACCAATCAGTAAATACTGGTACTAATAAAATCGAAGGCCAAAGATTACACTTTCGCATTTCTATCCAATAAAAAAATGATACTCGCATTTTGGCATTGCCTAGAATTCTAAATTCTCGCACTTATGGAGTTTCCTGTATGGCTCAATCGCCAGTGCTTCTATTTAATTGACAGAAATTCACATATAATCGAATCCGAAAACCTAATCTCAGAGTCCAGATTAGAGTGGGAGAACTTACAGATGAGAATGTAAGTAACCAGCCAAGTCGGGTTTCACCTTCAGAGAAAAGCCCAAATCCGAGTTTAGATTCGAGTTCATCTTCTGCAGTGTTCACTACCTTAGGCTTCTTCGACCACCGTGAATCCTTTCGATCCCGTCTTCGATTATCTCCGCTCATTTCGTGGCGATTATAAGATTAGGCGGAACAGAGAGACCCCTATATAGCTGGGAGCTTAATTCCTGGAGAAGCTTCGAAGGCGAATTTTAGTTCTAAGAATAATTTTTATGGTCAAGAAAAGGACTGGCTTTTACTGGTAGGGCTTCGTGAGAGAGAGACTGTAGAGCGAAAAAGAATAAAAATATTATCGTTTTCCCGCGCTTTGGTATTTTTCAACGAAATTACTAATTAACCCCTCATTTTTGGACTCTTATTGGGTCTATGTACGAAAGCCCATCTTTACCGAGTTTGGATCAAGGAAATTTGAGAACGAAACTCGAATGGAAATTTGAGAACGAAACTCGAATGGAAATTTGAGAACGAAACTCACCAGATTTGCCCCTTTTTGAACTACGAGTAGACATCGTTTTGTCACACGACTCTTAAACGTCCTCTCCTCTCAACGTACTCTCTAGAAACGGTTTACAACGCCTCTCCTCTCAACGCTACGAGTTGTGTCGCTGAAAATGACCGTACACCACAAACCTCTTTAGACTAGGGTTTCACGAGTTATTTTGGGGGGTGTGTGTGGAAAAATAATGGGCCAGATAAACATAAATTTCATTTAGCCCAATATATAAGAAAAACAAATTAAAGACATCTAAATAATTCAAATGGGCCACGATTATGACCCAATATACATAACAAAAGCTGGACCCACACAATACATATATGGTGTCTATTTTTCAAATATTTATAAAAGGTGTCTACTCTCCTAATTATTGTTCTAAAAGTGTCTAGTTAGCAAACAAACCCTATCTGAAATTTGATGTGAATTTTGAATTTTGGATTTTCAAATATATTTGGTTATGCTATCATGACCATTAATTTCAACTTTAAATGTTGTCAATGTCATCGTCCGAATTTCCCCAACACAACAAAACGCCGATCCCAGAAAACATATTAGAAACGTCAAAGAAAAGTAACGTAACATAAAGCAGCTAACGCTGTTCAAGTCTCTCCCCCACACCTCTAGTAAGGTAAGATCTTATTTCGGCAGGTCCGTAGCCTCTTTAGCATCTTTGTTTCTCTCGTCAATTAATTGAAACATCAGCCCATTTGGACCATAGATTCTCACAACTGCATAGAGAATAAGGCATTGCCTAACCGTTTCACGTGTACTTGGTTCAGCTGCTGAGCCACCGCCACCTGATGATGATGCTTGTTCTCCCGGACCCTAATTAAGACACACGGAATTCAGCACACCACACTTCTCTTCTCTACTTTGTTTCACATGAATGTTTTATTGACAAGTTAGTATAGTTGAGTACTTGAGTAGAGTATTCATACCTTTCGACTTCGTGCTAACAACCGAGAAACAAACTGCAGAGCATTTCTGATCTCCATAATGAATGAAAGATTGTTTACTTTTTAAACCTGAAAATTTTGAGCAAGGGAAAATTTCATTTGTACTCTAAAAAAAAAAAACACTTGAGCTACTCTTAACAATCCTCATCTTGGTGTAGCAGGCAATAACATAATAAATAAGTAATTTCAAACGCATGACTGCATCAACTAGTTTATAGGACATGTCTAGAGCATATTTACTTGAAGATCAACATGTGAAGACTGTACATGCAAAACATGTATATTACCAGAAACAATGAAAAACTTACAATTGCCCACATATATAACAAATCAGCCCAACCTAGGACTACAAAAGATAATGATGACCAAAAAAGGTTAACATATGGTGTGAGTAGCAGAACAAAAGGCAATGACCATGAAGAAGGAAAACTGAATGGTTCCTCATACTCAGGTTGACTTACTTGAGCCAAGGAACCAAGCAAGCAACTAAACACATGAAAAAATGTATTAACAACGAGGAGGCTTCAAGTAAAACAGGTCCATAAATGTCCCATCTAGAAACATCAACCACATCCCAAAATTTGACAACGGAATAACAGAGGACCCAAATAGGAAGCTGAGATACCAAAAACATTGTAAATAGCTACTTCACTTAAAATGGTATACTCAGATTCCTAGTATTGAGAAACTAAAACCTAGATTATGATCGTGAAGCTCGGAGAGCTGACATCTTCGTACACCAGTGATCAAATCCATTAACAAAAAAAGATGATCAATACAAAGACATAAGAACGCAGAAATAAACTTTGTAGAATATATGATCGGGAAGATACCTAAACCTCGTTGGCACAAAATTGTTGAACGGTGTAATTCGTTTCGTTCGCAGACGTAAAAATAGTACCCAAAAAAAAAAACATAGTCATGCTATTTTTCATCTGTACCAGTGTCTAAACCTACTCGTCTGAGAGGAGTGAAGAGAGACAGATTCGACATAAGTGAATTGGGCCTCCTAAACACTCAACAATGGGCCGTAAAATATCTGTTTTGGATTATGAAATGGTTCCGGATCAGACATAAATGTCAGGAATCAAGATGTTGATTGGCGAATAGTCTGAAAATCGGTTCATGAAACCAAATAATTTCAACCGGATTGGGTCTATTTAATTTTCGGTTAAATGCCGGTATGGTCCATACAACTATGACTTGTTGTAACTTGTAAAGTAAGGTGGTTTGTGGTAGGTGGAGAATTGACCACACAAACGAACAACAAGCCAGGAAAAAATAAAGTTTTCTACTTTCTCCACTTTGCTATTTCCTTGAGCTTGAAGTTCCAATTTTAAGACGCCATAGCTTAAACATGAAAGCTGTATCGTCTTCTTCTCCAATAATAGGTGCTAGCCAGCCGGCGACGGCGACGGCGACTGCGCTTATGGTGCGATCTGGTCGTTCTGAATGGCAGAGCTCATGCGCTATTCTAACAAGCAAGGTTATTTCTCAAGAGCAATCTGAATCCTTACCTGTGCCTCCAATTCCCGGCGGATTTGATCATCTGAACGGCCATAACAGTGCCGCCGCACGAGTTCCAGGAATGAATCTTGTTCCGATTGAGAAATCTGATAGCAATCCGTTGGTTCCACAGCATCGCCATCAACCACAGAAGCCTCTAACCATGACGGATCTCTCACCGGCTCCGATGCACGGATCTAATCTACGCGTCGCTTATCAAGGCGTACCCGGCGCTTACTCTGAAGCAGCCGCCGGTAAAGCTTATCCTAACTGTCAAGCTATACCTTGCGATCAATTTGAGGTTGCGTTTCAAGCGGTGGAGCTTTGGATCTCAGATCGTGCTGTTTTACCGGTGGAAAACTCTCTCGGTGGTTCTATTCACCGGAATTATGATCTCCTCCTCCGTCACCGTCTTCACATAGTCGGCGAAGTTCAGCTCCCTGTTCATCACTGTCTTTTGGCTCTTCCCGGCGTTCGTAAGGAGTTCCTCACACGTGTGATCTCACACCCTCAAGGACTTGCTCAGTGTGAGCACACGCTTACAAAGCTCGGACTCAATGTCGCACGTGAGGCTGTTGACGACACCGCAGGAGCCGCTGAGTTCATAGCTGCTAATAACCTCCGCGACACAGCCGCTATCGCGAGTGCACGCGCCGCCGATATCTACGGGTTGGAGATTTTGGAAGACGGGATTCAGGACGACGCGAGTAACGTGACGCGCTTCGTGATGCTAGCGCGTGAACCAATCATACCTAGAACAGATCGGCCGTTCAAGACCAGCATCGTCTTTGCGCACGAGAAAGGAACCAGCGTGCTTTTCAAGGTGCTCTCTGCTTTCGCCTTCAGAGACATTAGCTTGACTAAGATCGAATCGAGACCGAATCACAACCGTCCGATCAGGCTTGTCGATGATGCAAATGTCGGGACGGCGAAGCATTTTGACTTCTTGGTCACCATCATCATCAACTTCATCGTAACCATACCATCATATACACATGAAAATGTAAATTTGGAGAAGAAAACAAAGTTTTTAATTTAGTGATCCAGTCTGTTTGGTGTTTTACATTTTATTGAATTCGTACATATTAATATAACTGGTTAAAAACATTGATTTGGAAGTTTTGATAATAGAGGAAAAACTTTTTTTTTATAAAAAACACTGCGGAAATTGCATTTTCTCTTTGTGTTTTGACACATTTTCTCTTTGTGTTTTGCATTATGCTTTAACTATTTAGACCTGCTCATATACATTAATTTTCCATATCTGTGTAAATTGCAAGTCTTGAGAACACTCTCGTTACCATGAATTTTCCATATCTGTGTAAATTGCAAGAATTTAGAACACTCTCGTTACCATGAATTTTCAATTGTAAGGACCTATATAAAACATTGGTTGAGGAACTTAAGAGGATAACCAATGAAGAGGGGGATAATGGAGATGGGTTGGTGACAAGATGGTGTCATGATCAGGAAAATGAGGAGTTGGTAAAAAAAAAAAGGGAAAAATGTCGTTTAATAGCCCAACTTTCAAAAAATGGCCATTTTAACTTCGAACTCTGTAAATGGCCATTTTATACGTGAACAAAAAGTTGACCAGCCATTTGAACCAAATACATGTGTTGACCAGGCCGAATCGACACACCGTTAACACTCGCTAACAGAACCGCTAACACCCGTTAGCAGCCGTTAAGGAGTCTCCGTCTGTGATGAAACGACGTCGTTTTACCCTAAACTAAACCCCCAAAATCGAAATCAATTTTATACCCAAATCATAAACCTCAAATCCCTAAATTTCAATTCTCTGAACTTTCAATCTCAATTTTCAACGTTCCCAATTTCGATTCTTTGAGCTTCTTCATCGAATTCTCGAGAGTGAGCTCAAGAAATGAGTTGCAATTCTGGAAATTCTTCTGTTAAAGATGGTGGATGTGGGTTTCGTGGGTTTCCGTCAAAGTGTCATTGCGGGTTAGACGTCGTCATCTATACATCGGCGACGAAGCAGAACCCTGGAAGACCTTTCTTCCGCTGTCCAACCAAACAAGAGGTAAGTAGATTCGATTTTATATCTACTTGGGTTTCGCAGATTAAACATAATCTGTTTGTAAATGCACAGGATCATTTGTTTAAATGGGTCGAAGATGGTGTATACGAGGAGGTTGTCGATGCTCTTCCAAAATTCTCCATCATTGACAGAGAGATAGACAATGCCAAATCTGAAGTTGCTGTCGAGATTGAAGAGTTAAAGGTCATGATCAAAGAATTGAAGGAAGAAGGACTGTGGAGCAAAAGGGAAATAAAGAAATGGAAAATGATGATCAAAGTGTGTTTAGTAAGCCTTTGTGTTGCTGTCATTGTCTTTGTTATCCTACTGTTTGGTGTTGGAGACAAAAGACAGAATTTAGTTCTTGGTTCCTAGTTGTGCATTAGTGTCTTATTTGGTTTGTGTCTTTGTCTTTGGTCTTAGTTCATGTTTCTCTCGTTTGTGTCTTCTCTTGTTTTAGTTATGTGTTGTGTCTTGTTTGTGTCAGTGTCTTGTATAAGTTTCTATGTTTTGCAATGAAACATGTTTGGTCTTGGTTCATTATCTCTTGTTTGTATTTTGGTACTGAAAATCACTAGTTAAGAGAGAACCAAGAGACTAGTTTCAGAAACCATTCATACATTACAACAATGCCATGTCATAAAGACAAGTTCAAACAACAAAAAAGAAATCCGAGACTAAGATAATGTCTTAAAGACAAGTTCATACAACAACAAAAAAGCCGAGACTAAGCTTATGTCATAAAGACAAGTCAATTATGTCAAACAACAAAAAGATACCCGAGACTAAGCTTAAGTGGAAACAAGATACAAAAAAACTGAGACTAAGCTTAAGTGGAACAGTCAAACCATGAAGCCAATCTACCAAGTCCTTGTGGTTCTGCTTGTGCTTGGGGTTGTGCTGCAGTTCCATGTCGTCGATCAGCTTGTGATCCTTGTGGTTGTGAATTTGATGTTCCTTGTCCTTGTGAACTCGATGGTCTTTGTCTTTGTCTTTGTGATCCTTGTCCTTGTGAACTTGATGCTCCTTGTCTTTGTCTTTGTGAACCTTGTGATCTCTGTACATGTCCTTGTGATCCTGCAACTTGCCCTTGTGATCCTGCAACTTGCCCTTGTGATCCTGCTACTTCTCCTTGTGATCCTGGATAAGTTTCAATAGCTTGTGCTTCCTAATTCAAATTTTACAGTCAGTTTTATGCAACAAAACATAGCAAAATAGATACAAAGAAATACAAACCTCATATTTCCTTGGTCTCCCTCTTGGTCTTTTTTGTACACGCAGAACAGTAGCATTTTTACATGTGGCCTTGGTGTGTCCTTCTTGCTGGCAGTTAGAGCATGTCATGATTCTCTTTTCTCTTGACATCTTGTTCTTATTTGAAGAAGCTGCAGATTCATTTCTTCCTTTCCTTCTTGCATAGTTACTTGGCCTTCCCGAGTTACCTCTTCTCCATGGTGGTGGCAAGACAGGCAACTTCTGCAATCTAGGCCACAATGGCATCCCTTGGACAGGTCTAATACCATCTCTGTATGTTTCTCGCCACCTTAACTTTGTGTAATAATCATTGACATAGTCTTCAACTTTCTCCTTTCTTCCTATTATCACACATGTTGCATGAATACATGGGATCCCAACCATTTGCCACTTTCTGCAGCCACAAGTCTTCAAATCCATATCAACAAAGTAGCCAACCCCATTATGATATATCTCATGCAGGTTGTTTCTCGACATATATCTCTCACAGCTTTGTGCCCCAACAATCATCCTTTCAATCTCAGCATGAGCTCTTGGTGTGAACCTAGTCTGCAACTTGTCTGCAATGATATACCTTTTAGCTGTTCTGACCATGCACTGCCTCCTAATGTCCTCTAGAAGATCCAACAATGGCTTCCTCCTGGCTTGTCTAATAGTCCTATTGAAAGACTCACTGAGATTATTGAGGTTGTCATTGCAACATGTACCTGTTCTAAAGAATGCTCTAGACCAAGTCATCGGACTAGTTAGTTGCAGAGATGTATGAGCTTGACGATTATACTTCTTTAGATCCTCCATGTGATTATTGAACTCTTCTATGGTGTAGCTGCAGCTCAATGTCATGGCTGTCTCTTTTCCAATTATCCATGATGTGTTTTGAACATTGTCGATGCTCAGCTTGTGGGAGAATGGTATGGATAGCCTTGACTAGACCCTGCAAAAACAGAATAAAAACAAGATAAAAACAGAAGCTTAATTCCCAAACTTGCAGAAAACAAAACAAGAGATATATGCAAAACAGATACTAACCGATTGTTTATCTGAAAGGATGGCTAGATCAGACATTTGACAAAGTCCCAAACTTGCAGAAATCTGTCTCAGAAACCAGTCCCAGTTGTCATCGTTTTCAATCTCTACAACTGCCCAAGCAATAGGCACAATCCGATTGTCCCCATCTCTTCCAACTGCGGCTAAGAGATGTCCTTTTATGTCCCATTTCAGAAAAGCTCCATCTATTCCTATCACAGGTCTACAAGTTTGTTTCCATGAATCCCTTTGAGCTTGAAAACAAATATATAACCTATAGAACCTCTGCTTGCTTCCAATCACTGGCCCTGCAACTGTCTCTATGTTGAATTCTGTCCCTGGATTCCGAGTTAAAACCTCTGATTGATAATCCCATATTCTTGCAAAATGAATATCATGACTAGCACGTTTTTCTCTCAACACTTTAGTCTTTGCCTTAGCACACTGATCCGGAGTCACTTCCAACTTGTATTCTCTCTTGATCTCAGCAACCATCTCATGTTTGGTGAGCTTTGGATTCACTCTCAGCCTTTCTTCAAACAAGAATGCAATGGTTGATCGCTTCAACATTTTTGAATATCCAGACCTCACACATATATGCTCATTGACATAGGTTCTTATCTGCATCTTATGTTTCGTCTTCTCATAAGAACAATAAACTCTCCACTGACATTTAACACCATCATCACGAATATAGACACACTTAGCAGCAACAACCATAGCCTCAGATCTATAGAGTTTAATGTCATACCTTGTCTTTAAAGAGTACATCAAAAGAGCAAGCTTGAAGTCCTCAGGAGAGTTGAAAGTCTTCTTCAGTGCTAGGATGGTCTCTGGATCGTCAACATCAGTACGAGCTTCCTCTTCTACGGCTCTGTCTTCATCATCATCGTCGGATGACAGAGGATCTGGAATCTTGTCGTCGTCCCATATATCGTCTCCGCTGTCACAATCACTAGCAGCTTCATACTCTCTATAAGCCTCTGGGAAATCTTTTTCGATGTCAAGGTTAACATCTTCTTCGACACCTAAACCACCATTATCGTCTTTATCTCCACCACCTACAACATCATCAACATCATCACAGTCTTCATCACCATACACCGCGCAGTCGTCTTCAATGTCAGGCTCAGGATCAATTTCGGGCTCTTCATCCTCCTCTTCAACTCTGACTTTCCTTCGTTTTCTTCGTCGACCTGGAGCACGAGCTTCAGCTTCATCTCCCACAACAGACTCTGAAACTACATTCGTTGGAGCTTCCTCTTCTCTACCACAAGACTCTGATACAACATTGGTTTGAGCTTGCATTCCATCTCCGATACCATCTTCTTCGCCTCGCGGTGGTGCTTCAACTCCATCTCTCATAGAACTCTCAGATTCGCCAAGCATTGGAGAGCCCATCCTCAAAATGACGCCTTTGTGTCTAACTTTTGGCATTAGGGAAGACGAAGCTCAATTTGGGTTACAATCGGGGATTTCGATTACGGGTTAGGTTTAGGGATTTGATCTCTCGATTTGGGGATAATTTCGATTTTGGGGGTTTAGTTTAGGGTAAAACGACGTCGTTTCATCACAGACGGAGACTCCTTAACGGCTGCTAACGGGTGTTAGCGGTTCTGTTAGCGAGTGTTAACGGTGTGTCGATTCGGCCTGGTCAACACATGTATTTGGTTCAAATGGCTGGTCAACCTTTTGTTCACGTATAAAATGGCCATTTACAGAGTTCGAAGTTAAAATGGCCATTTTTTGAAAGTTGGGCTATTAAACGACATTTTTCCCAAAGAAAAAAGGGTTTGGGGACAATCAATCAACAATCATTTTGGTTTGTATGATAACTTCGTTTTGTCCTTTTGATTCCAAGAAGATCACAACGTATATACAGTACATGTTTGGTGTATGCAAAAAAACTCTTATATTTTCAAACTTTCAGAAAAGTTGTTATTAATTTAAAATGCGTCTGCCGGGAGTCGAACCCGGGTCTATTGCTTGGAAGGCAATTATCCTAACCGTTGGACTACAAACGCTTTTGATTAATCACCGACCACAGGGACAATATATATCTATAGACTTTGGGAGTTGAGGTCAAAGTGAAAAGAATTTTAAAATACATACATATTGATATATTATTAGTATTTTATTTTGTTAGTTGTAATGAAAATTTAAAACTGTAATATTGATTTAATATACATATTGATATATTATTACTCTTATCCAATTTGCTTTTTTATTCTGTTTCGTTGTATTGAAAATTTAAGATTGTCTCCAAAATCTATTATTTTGGAACTTATAATTAATTTTAACTTTTGTTGTTTATAAATTTTATTACCAAAACGGATCTGCAGAAGATGTAAAAGATTTTGTTTCCAATACGTTTTGAATTCTCCATTTATTTTCTTATTCCATCATATATATATATGTTATAATTTCATAAATCGTTTGACAAAAAAAAAGTTGAAGATGAGCTATATTACTCTGCAATGTTATAAATTATTACGAAATGCTTTATATAAAAGATGATATGATAGCAAGTCGTTCTTTTGGACTTATAAAAGTGAGTAATTAAAGCATAGAGTGGAGAGAGAGAAAGAGAAACAAAGAGAGCGATAAAGAGATGGGTGGAGAAGAGAGATCAGAAGATAGACCAAAAAGAGGGGAAGATGTTGACGCTGGTTCTCTCTTCGTCCTTAAATCCAAAGGTACGTTTTCTTATGAATCTTACACCGGGAGTGAGATGAAATTAATTCTAGAGTAAGTATAAAGATCATGTATCTTAAAACCCATGAAACTTAACTTATATTACCATAAGTATATATAACCCATTGAGGAAGATGGTGATGGAAACTAGGGACATGGTGGCACTGCGGATTCCACTTGACGACGTCTATAGTGGCGCCGGCATTACTGAGTCTACCGTACGCTTTCAAGTTCTTAGGATGGGTTGCCGGAATATCCTGTTTGGTGGGAGGAGCAGCCGTCACTTTCTACTCGTACACCCTTCTTTCTTTAACACTCGACCACCACGCTTCCCTCGGCCACCGTTACCTCCGCTTCCGTGACATGGCTCACCACATCCTCGGTAATTCTTTTTTCTTTATTGTAACATTTGCTCTTTACTATAATCAAAGCTGCAATAAATTTAGAGAATTTCATTTAAAATTGAGATGTAGTTGTACGTAGACATACGTGTCTATATGAACTTCTACGTAATAATTGACACACAAGTACCACTCCGAAAATTTCATCCACACAATAAAGGAAGGTACATGTCCTTCGTAATAATTTGTTTGAACAAAAAAAGAAGTGAATTTATGTTTGGAAACGCAAAATGGACTACTTAAAAATCTCGTTTTTTATTATGAACAACGGAATTTTAAACCGCAATTAGTATATCAACTTTTGTTCGTGTTTGGTTGCTATCACAATAAATGTATTGAATTCCGTTCGTGTTTTGGTAAGAAAAAGAAACTAATCATATAAAATTCATATTATAGTGCTTTTTTATGATAAGGCTTGATTCGGTTCAATTTTATCGGGATCCGGATCGAAAAGTTGACCAAGTCCACTCATATCGAATTTTTAGATTCAACTTTTATACGGTCTTGTTTCCGTGTCTCTTTCCGTGTCTTGTTTCATTATAGATGCAGAATTGAAACTTTGTCTTTCAAACCTAATTTCAACCTTTTTAAAACGCTACGTGTCAGAAGAATATCCATAAAACGTTGTGTGCCGACCAAAATTTAATCATATATATATATAAGTAAGGTTGGAGGGATTCGATCTGCTTTCAAAAGTAGAATATTCTAAAATTCCAGATCATACATAGGATTCGGATCCAAATCAGGATAGTTGCAGTACAACTGCCAAGGAAATCCACATGCCAATAAAACCTTTTAAGACAATTTAACGTGTTTATCTATGCAGAACCATAATATGATGAGAAAATTTTGATTTCTATAATGTATTAACGTGTAACTAATATCGATTTTTTAGATTTACGGGATAATTCTGTTTTAGTAGCTAATATGAAACTAAATCCATTTTGCATAGATTTGGATTGATTTCGGTTTTAGTTTTCGTTAGAGTACATGACTTATTTGAAGGATTCATAGAACTCAATTTGGCCCACTTTTTTGTGATTGTATATAATTTTAATTAGTTTATAGGATAAACTAAAGTTTAATCCAGTTTGTAAATGTTTGCTTAGTTAAGATCAGTTTGGTTTCCTCTTAACAATTATTGGGGTGTATTTGATAAGGTCCGAAATGGGGGAGGTATTACGTTGGACCAATACAAATGGCGGTGTGCTATGGTGTGGTTATTGCGAATGCGCTCTTGGGAGGGCAATGCCTTAAGGCAATGTATTTGGTAACGCAGCCAAATGGGGAAATGAAACTCTTTGAGTTTGTGATTATTTTTGGATGCTTACTTTTGGTTTTGGCCCAATTCCCATCCTTTCACTCTCTACGATACATCAACTCATTTTCTCTCCTCCTCTGCCTTCTCTATAGTGCTTCTGCCGCTGCTGCCTCCATCTACATTGGTACTCTTCTTTACTAAACCCATTATGTACTCTTAAATCTTAGGCTAATTTGATAAGATGTATAATCCAGTTTACGATTTGATTTTGGTTCGGTTGTTTCGGTTCTTTTTTTTTTTAAAATCGAAATAGTAAAACCAATTGGATCATAAAACAAATTTCAGTTCGTTTTTGTTTTGTTTGATTCAAAGCAACCTTAAATTTACACTCCATGATATATTGTTGGAGTTAAAAAGTGATTTTTTTGTTAAATATCAGGAAAAGGATCAAATGCACCAAAGAAAGACTATACTATAGTTGGTGACCAAGAAACTAGAGTGTTTGGAATCTTTAATGCTATGGCTATTATCGCCACCACATACGGCAACGGCATCATACCCGAAATTCAGGTTTCATTTTGTTTCGTCTTTACAATGTATAACACCACTTTATTTATTTATCAAAAAACAAAAGGGCATGGTTTTGAAGAGTGAAGACAGTCACACACACAACTACAAATATATATAGAGTGTTTGATATATGAATACTATCTTCTTGCAATGCAGGCAACAATATCTGCACCGGTGAAAGGAAAAATGATGAAAGGGTTGTGTATGTGTTACCTTGTAGTGATAGTGACATATTTCACTGTAGCAATCACCGGATATTGGGCATTTGGTAACAAAGCCAATGGATTTATATTCACCAATTTCTTAAATGCCGAGACAGGCCATTACTTAGTTCCTACTTGGTTTATTTTTCTCGTCAATCTCTTCACCGTTCTTCAACTTTCGGCTGTTGCTGTGGTATATACATATATTATATATTTGGTTCTTTATATATTTGTTTTCATATATATACATTGTTACTAATTTTGAGTTATGCAGGTATACCTACAGCCTATAAACGATATTTTGGAAAGTGTAATCAGCGATCCAACAAAAAAAGAATTCTCTATCCGCAATGCCATCCCTCGACTAGTTGTGCGTTCCCTCTTCGTCGTGGCGGCTACAATCGTTGCAGCAATGCTTCCATTTTTTGGCGATGTAAACTCCTTGTTAGGTGCTTTCGGTTTTATACCTCTAGACTTCGTTCTACCTGTAGTGTTCTTCAATTTTACCTTCAAGCCATCTAAAAAAAGTTTCATTTTTTGGATCAACACTGTGATCGCCGTGGTTTTTTCGTGTTTAGGGGTGAGTGCTATGGTAGCGGCAGTTAGACAGATTATAATCGATGCTAATACATATAAGTTGTTTGCGGATGTATAGAAGAACATACAAAGCAAAGTGAGAATGTTATTGCTATATTTAAGTATAATCCTGCTTTTATTATATATAAATGTTTATGATAAAAATTTGAGAAAGAAGATTCAACTTTTGATAACACATATTTACCTTTTACAATGAGTTACATAACAAATTCAAAATATAAAACTCCTTACTTATTTTCATGAAAAGTTGACACATCTCATGGTGTTAAGCAGCAATGTAAAAATGGGCCTGGTATATGAGCATTTGAAACCCAAAGAATAACAATTCATAGACACTAAAGCCCAAAAGTTGGGGCTATACCTAAACCGGATTGGAATCGGTTTGATCGGCTTACCCACACAGAAATCTGGTTCAGGATTTTAGGCAACGTTTTCAATTTCCAAGCGAGTTTGGTTCGCCTTTAGCGAGCAGACAAAACCAACCAAATAGGGTTTAAGCTCTTCTAAAATGGCGACGACGTTGAATCGGTTCCTGAAGCTCAGGTCAGTCTCTGCCCTCAACAAGCATCATCAAGGACTCTTCTCCTTCACTCGCTATGAAAACCATGACTCTCTCCCTTCGAAAATGCCAGCTCTTCGATCAACCACCCGCTCTTTCCTCGATTTTTATCAGGTATGTATTCAGAGAAACTATCAATTTCGATTTTCGGAGGAAACGTTGACTATAATCTGTCGTTATTGTTGTGGCTTTGCGCAGTTCGGGAACAAGAAAGCGATTGAAGATGAGCGTACTAGACTGTAAGCTTCCCTTTATCTAGATTCAATTCTTTTTTGGGTTTTGCTCCAATTCAGATGCAGCATTGAAGTTCGTGTTGATCGGTCCAGCATTGATTTGCTCTCAGTCTGGAGATAAGATCGTCTCTATGAGAAGTTAATTAAGTGGAATTTGATGTGATTTAGGGCAGTAATGATGAGATGAATCGGGGATACTTTGCTGATATGAAAGAATTCAAGGATCATGGTGGTAAGGTAATGATGCAACTTCTTTCACTCTCTCTCTCTCTCTCTTATTGGTAGGAAAGATCCCAGATTTTGTGTTCTTTGCAAATTGCAACGGCAGTCTTAAAGGGTGGATTGTTTCATTAGCTATAGCTTATATCATATATCATTTGGGTTCACTTTTATTAGAACATAGTTACCGGTATTCGTTGTATTGGCTTAATGAAGTTTCTTAACTGTCAATTGATGTTTTATGCAGATCGCAGCTGCAAATAAGACTATAATTCCTGCTGCGTCAGCCATCAAATTTCCGGTATTAGCAGTGACTTTCTCTAATGGAAAAAGCCTAAAGTTGCCTATTACTCCCAACAGCAATGAGGTTGACACAGAGAGTTTGGCTGTCCCTAAAGTATCATTGGTGTGTCTGTCTTTCCGAGCAAGCTCTCAGGTACAGAAAATTCTACCTCGTTTTGATTATATACTTTTATGGATTTGATAATTTTTGCCTTTATGAAGCATTAACGGAAGTGTTGTTTGTTAAGGTTACTAAACAATGGTTGCATGACACAGTGTTCTTTAATGGGGAATCATTTTGTTGATAAGCTATATATCTAGCTTGTATGGTTGTTGATGCGATGTGGTTGCTTTTTCTGACAGGAAATGATCAGCTCGTGGAGCAAACCATTCCTTGAAACATTTGGCAACAGGAAAGATCTTCAGCTGTTTGAGGTACTGATCCTGAATCGTTTGTGCTATTCACACTTATATCAGATTTTAGAACCTGCAAGAGTGTTTTTTTTTTCTCCCATTCTCTTGAATAAAACTTATTTTCTTGTAAATATAGGTTTCATTTATAGACAAATGGCTGCTGGGCTTGGCCCCCATAAGAAAACTACTTCTCCGGGTCTTGCAAAAACCAAACAATAACGAGAACAGTGTCCTCCAGAGGCAGGCTGTTTACGCATTTGGGGACCATTACAACTTCCGTAAACAAATTAAAGTTCTGAACCTTCTCACTGGGTACAGAAGAATCTCCACTTCATTAAGCTAAGAGTGCATAATAGATTTCCTTAATGGTTCTGATCTCTCTATTGCACATATGTGTTCATGCTTCAGGTATATTCTCCTACTCGACAAATCCGGGAGGATAAGATGGCAAGGTTTTGGAACAGCAACTCCAGAGGAAGTATCTCAACTTCTCTCTTGCACCTCACTTCTCTTGGAAGATCAGTGAGAGGTAACCAAACTGCTCTCTCTCTCGTAAACCATTTAACACACAAGACTCCCAATTCTCCTTATGCCTACATTTATCAGAAAATTCTATAGCATGAGCAGAAAAATGTTCAGTGTAGAAAATATTTCAACTTTGCCTTGAATGATTCATAGCTAAGAGTGACAGAAGTTTATTTGAAGAACCTTCTTGATATAGTTTTGTGTATGCAAATATAACATCTGAGGGTATTTTTGGTTCCATGACATGTCCAGATCGTTGCTTAAACTGGAGACCGTCTCAAAAGACAAGTCCTCCTCCTTTACTCTCATGGAGGATGTCGTCGAAGAATTTATTTTCAGAAGGGCGCACAAAAGACAAAAATAAAGTATCTCTTATCTTTTCCGTTTTGTAGTTTGATTTGATTTGTGTTATCGGCACTTGAGCAATAGAGAATCCTTCCTTCCAATAGAGAATCCTTCACTTGTTTCTCTTTTAGATATGTACTCATCTGAGAATTGAATGACCTAAATCTTTTTCTTAATACAATTCGAGCTAAAAGTGGAAACAAAACAAAGCCAAATTTCCTCGTGGATGTCCGTTTAGTTTAGGTTCCAAATAAAGCCGTTGTAGTCGTAGACTTCTGAGTTCTGGTGAATTTTGGGTAAATTGGTCAACGGAAAATCAATGAATTAACCCTATTACTAAAAAGTAAAGTTACATCACTACTTTCAGACGCGTCATATTGGTGGAGCATAGACACATTACATCAGTCTATCTATACTCAACACCAAACATAACATAAAAAGAAAATTGAACTTGTGATAATTACCAAAAATGCCAAATGTAAAAACTCGCCAAAATGACTAAAACAAAAAAGGATAATTTATGCATATTTAATTAGATTAATCACCAAAATGTGCAAAACTTTAGTACTGTCATCAGAATATTATCAGAACGTTTTAAGTTGGCGGCTTTCTCTCTCTCTTTCCCCAGGAAGAGAAAGTTCGAACTCGAGAAATGGCGGTGGATTCTCCTGCTGGAGTTATCATCATCGCCACCGTGCTTTTACATGCTGCCACAACCTTGGTCTGCGGCTCCGACGCGGTTCTCAAGCTGGAGAGATTGATTCCGCCGAACCATGAACTTGGTCTGACTGAGCTCAGGGCTTTTGATTCAGCTCGCCATGGAAGGTTATTGCAGTCTCCTGTCGGTGGAGTTGTTAATTTCCCGGTTGATGGAGCCTCCGATCCGTTTCTCGTTGGGTACTACTACTGTTGTTACCCATTTGCTTTTCCACTTTTTCGATTTCGATTTTCGAATTTTTCCTTCTTTTTTCGGTTTCCAAAGAAAAAAATCACTTTTTTGGAACCGTACCACAGTCTCCGGACTTGGATTTGGAAACTTTCCTCCTAACAAAATTGAATTGAAATAGCAAATTTGTTTCTGGGTAGAGTGAGTAATGCGATTCGATTCTGTCTTCAATATTCCACGCGTTTTTCATCAAACCTGGTTGAGTCAAGTATAAGTTAGCAGCATTTTAGAATATTGTATCAGCTTGTGTTCAATTTCGAATTTAGAAATATTTGACTCTGTCTCTTGACTCTTGACTCTTGTCCATTCCTTTTTATAGAATCTTGCTGTCATTTTTTTTCATGACAGGCTTTACTACACAAAGGTTAAACTTGGGACACCCCCAAGAGAATTCAATGTTCAAATTGACACTGGAAGTGATGTTTTATGGGTTAGCTGCACTTCCTGCAATGGCTGCCCCAAGACTAGTGAACTCCAAGTATGTTTCTTTCTAACTTTCCTCAATAGCATTTTCAAACATTTTCCTCAAGTTCTTGGCTTTATCTTTATGACGAGTTTCATCTATATGACCACTTGTTTTCCCTCTCTTTTGTGGGTTTTTGGATTTCCAGATTCAACTAAGTTTCTTTGATCCTGGAGTGTCATCCTCGGCTTCATTAGTTTCATGTTCAGACAGGAGATGTTACTCAAATTTCCAGACAGAGTCGGGCTGTTCTCCCAACAATCTTTGTTCCTATTCGTTTAAGTATGGTGATGGAAGTGGCACTTCTGGTTTCTACATCTCAGATTTCATGTCCTTTGATACTGTTATTACCAGTACCTTGGCTATAAATTCCTCTGCTCCCTTTGTCTTCGGGTAAGCTAACTGCAAAAGAATTGTCTGTTTATATATATATACATGTCTTATCTTGCATTTTTAATCTTCTTTCGACAATGATGATTTCCTTAGAGAGTATGGTGCATTGCCTTCTCTAAACTTAACTGATGACTGCATCTTTGGGGAGAGAAAATGTTGGCCAAATGAAAAACAATATTTCTGTATATCAAAATACACTCAATTAGTTTTTTATTCAGTAACTTCTACTCAGGAAGTACAATATGATCTAACATCCAAATCATCTTTTCTGTACTGTTTCAACTTTCAAAATATGTGATGCTTGTCTTCAATATTGACTAACAGGTGTAGCAATTTACAAACCGGTGATTTACAGAGGCCTAGAAGAGCAGTAGATGGCATCTTTGGGTTAGGACAAGGGAGTTTATCTGTAATTTCACAGCTTGCTGTGCAAGGACTTGCGCCACGAGTATTCTCGCACTGTCTGAAGGGAGATAAAAGCGGTGGAGGTATAATGGTTCTAGGTCAAATTAAGAGGCCAGATACCGTGTATACCCCTCTCGTTCCATCACAGTGAGTTCACAATCTTTCTATTATACATTTAAAGTCTTAAACTCTTATCATATTACGTAAAGAAAAGTACCGCTAGATCTTGGGGGTACTTACACCGGTAGATCTTAGGGTAGGATTCCCAGAATTTGTTTGTTTAAGACAGGGAGGTTAAATCCAGGGTTTAACTAATGATAATGAAAGTCATTACACAGATATAAATGCGAGAGTTGTTACAATATTTGCTATCTCATTCTGCTGTAGGAACCATATGATCCAGAAGTAGACATTTTGTTGCTGACCCTATGGAAATAAAATGCAGTTCGTTTATCTTGGGTTAGGAAAACTAAAAATATATAAACCCACGTCTTGATTCAGATAATATGCTGCAAAAAAATATTTCAGGCCACATTATAATGTGAACCTGCAGAGCATTGCTGTGAACGGTCAGATATTACCGATTGATCCATCTGTTTTCACAATAGCCACTGGTGATGGAACGATAATTGATACGGGGACGACTCTTGCTTATCTTCCCGACGAAGCTTATAGTCCATTCATCCAAGCTGTGAGTGTTTTTTCTTCCTTAGTTCACCTTCAGGTTTTCCAATCTCCAAACCGTGTATGCCATATTCAGTCTAGTTTTTGCCATTGTTGATGTATCTGTCCTCAAATGTTACATTTTTGGAATGAGATTACAGCTCAATGTTGACGATATATGTTATTAGACCTTACAAGCAAGAAGATTTATAAACCGTTCAACCTGCAGATTGCAAATGCTGTTTCGCAGTACGGGCGTCCCATTACTTATGAGAGTTACCAGTGCTTTGAAATCACAGCTGGGTAAGATTCCTCATGTGTATGTATATATAAAAAGCTGTTATCTCTCATGCTTAAGTGCTAAAAAGATTTCCATGTTGCAGTGACGTTGATGTCTTTCCCGAAGTTAGTTTGAGCTTTGCTGGTGGTGCATCAATGGTCTTAAGACCCCGTGCGTATCTTCAGATTTTTTCTAGTGTAAGCATATTCAGAGCACTGGTAAAGACTAAAGACTTTTTTTCTAGAAACTTTTGATATGATTTTCTTTTGGTATCGTCAGTCAGGAAGTTCAATATGGTGCATTGGTTTCCAGAGAATGTCACATCGTCGCATAACAATTCTTGGCGGTAAAGACTCGTTTTTCGTAACTCAATCAAGTGTATCGTGTTATAGTGCAACTATTTTTCTCAATGGGTGATTGATTTGCAGATTTGGTTCTTAAAGACAAAGTGGTCGTCTACGATCTTGTTCGCCAGCGTATTGGATGGGCAGAATACGACTGTGAGTGTTTTTTCTATTTTACCGTAAAGCAATCAACGGTTTATGGTTTATATATCCCAGCCAGCCTACATTGGAGTACAATTCCGATAATGAAATTGCATTGCAGGTTCTCTGGAGGTGAACGTTTCAGCGTCAAGAGGAGGACGAAGCAAAGACGTTATAAACACAGGACAATGGAGAGAGAGCGGTTCAGAGAGTTTCAATAGAAGTTATTACTTGTTACAACTAGTCTTCCTCCTCCACCTTTTTGCTCGTTTCTTGTAGTAGCTTTTAGCATTCACTCCACCTATTATGGTTGGACTTTTGTAAACTTATTATTGTAATTTAATCACACTAATTAATTCTTACTTACCACCCACCACTTCTCTCGTTTCTCTGTTTAATCAACTAATACTAGGCCACCGACGAATTAGCACAATTTTACATGTCGGTGTAAAGCAACAAACATACCCAAAAAATTGAAACTATAATCGATATAACGTGAACAATCAGATTCATAAATAATTGACTTAAGAGAGAATATGACACATGACGAAAACATTAATTTCACGTGGGAGTGTGTGGGGACTAAATGTGCAAGGCTGTGAGAGAGTAGGGAACATTATTATACACGCCTTTAAATATCAATCTCTCATTTCTTTCTTTTTCTTCTCCCATTCCCACAAATCTCTCCTCTCTCTTCCACCCATTGTTATCTCTGAGAGAGATCACGCGTATTCACCGACACAACGAAAATGGCTAACGGAGCCGGTAGATTGGATCTGGACGGTAAACCGATTAAGCCGATTACGATATGCATGATCGGCGCCGGAGGTTTCATTGGCTCTCATCTCTGTGAAAAGCTAATGACGGAGACTCCTCACAAGGTGCTTGCGCTCGATGTCTACAATGATAAGATCAAGCACTTGCTTGAGCCTGATACCGTTCAATGGGCTGGTCGGATCCAGTTTCATCGTATCAACATTAAGCATGATTCTAGACTCGAAGGACTGATCAAGATGGCAGATCTGGTAATTTCTTCTTCGTCTCTTCTTATAGTGAATCGTTAATGTGAATAATGTTGAATGTGAAGACTCAGATCTGATTCGTTTTGGGAAATTGAATTTTGAATTGTGGTTGTTTTGTTTAATCTGTTGTTGTTTTGGTTTTGCAGACGATAAATCTAGCTGCGATCTGCACTCCAGCAGATTACAATACGCGTCCTCTTGACACTATCTACAGCAATTTCATTGATGCTCTCCCAGTGGTATGTATATTCTTTGGTGTTCTTGTCCATTCTTGTAAGTTTGAGGAATATTTTGATGTGATTCGGATTATTAGTTGTGATATTGAGTGGTCATTGGTTTTGGCATGTAGGTTAAGTACTGCTCTGAGAACAACAAGCGTCTGATTCACTTTTCCACTTGTGAAGTCTATGGAAAAACTATAGGAAGCTTTCTTCCAAAGGATCATCCTCTGCGTCAGGTCACTCTTTTTCTCCTTTTCTCACTATGATCATGTCATATTTTCTTATGCATCGTTTTCTGCTGAATGTCGTTGTCAAGAAGATTGATACGGAAATTTATATACTACTGCTGTTCTAAGTCTTCTTTTCTGATCTAAACAGTAATGTCAACTTGTTATAAGCCTAGCACTATCCACTTTAATAGTTTTTGAAATATCGAGAAAATGTAGTTTGTTTTCATGCACTTACTTGAGTATGGCTTTGAGCCCCAACTACTACATGAGAGTCTTTTGTTTTACTTTTTGCCTAGCTTTCTTATGTCAAGTAGAAATTAGTTCGTGTCCTGTGGTTCTTATTACTACTTTTGTCTCTGTGTTTGTTATTTCTTCACTACTCACAAATGATGCTTGTCTTGTTTACTACAGGATCCTGAATTTTATGTACTCAAAGAAGATATATCCCCTTGCATTTTTGGTTCTATTGAGAAGCAGAGGTGGTCATATGCATGTGCAAAGCAACTTATTGAGAGACTTGTTTATGGTATGTAGTTTTCTTATTCGATAAGAAAATTTGATGTTTCTAGACACAAAAAGTTTCTCACGTCACTTGTTTGTGGTTGCAGCTGAGGGTGCTGAGAATGGACTCGAGTTCACCATTGTAAGACCATTCAACTGGATTGGACCTAGGATGGATTTCATCCCTGGCATTGATGGTCCTAGCGAGGGTGTCCCTCGGGTCCTAGCGTGCTTTAGTAACGTAAGTATACAGGCTCAGTCCAATGACCTGAGTTCTTCTCGTGGCTGAAGCTTAATATTTTTTTTAACTTTTTTGGGCGTATTTTCAGAACCTTCTGCGACGGGAGCCTCTCAAGCTTGTGGATGGTGGAGAATCACAGAGAACCTTCATCTACATCAAAGATGCTATTGAAGCTGTCCTTTTGATGATTGTGAGTTTCATTAATTGCTTATACCTAGTGATATTTCGTTTGTTGTTATGTTATCAAAGTAGTTGCATCTGAATTTACTTGCGGAATTTTTAACAGGAAAACCCAGAGAGAGCCAATGGGCATATCTTCAATGTAGGCAACCCAAACAATGAAGTGACAGTGAGACAACTTGCTGAAATGATGACTGAGGTGAGAAAAATTGGTCACAGATAAGAATCCAAATTGATTTTCGATAAACTATTATAGCACACTCAAATGTTGCAAAACAAAAAATGGACAGGTCTACGCAAAAGTGAGTGGAGAGACAGCCATCGAGAGCCCAACGATCGACGTGAGCTCCAAAGAATTTTATGGAGAAGGTTATGATGACAGCGACAAGAGAATCCCAGATATGACCATCATCAACCGTCAACTTGGTAATTTCCTCTTTTCTTGTCTGATTAGTCTTTTCTAACAGTCCCAATGGTTTTCTAATAGATACTTGGTGTGGACATTAATTAGGATGGAACCCGAAGACTTCGCTTTGGGACTTGCTTGAGTCGACCTTAACATACCAGCACACGACATATGCGGAGGCCATTAAGAAGGCCACTTCAAAACCAGTCGCATCTTAGAGGTCGTCTCTCTTACAAACACCTCAAATCATGTGGTGGCTACGATTCCATTCTTTTTGTTTTTTTAAATTCTCCCAACAGAAACCTTTTCTTCCCTTATGTTAGGCAATTTCTAAGCAAATGATATATCACGGTGGTTGATTCTAGTTTACGTTTTCCTTGTTATATAGTATTACTGTTAATGTTTTTGAATTCGTTTGTTGAAGCTTTATATCTTGTATTTGTCCGAAACTAAAAAGGGAATGGTTTGTGCAAACTATAACATTGGGGCTTTCTTTATATGTTACATATATTTTTGGCGGATTCCACACTTTACTTCTATATCTGTCTGGTTGGAATAAGCGAGTTCGTTTGGCTTTTGCTTGTGTTGCTGTATTTTGTGAATATATACCTTCCTTATTTGGAAATGCCTAGGGTCTATAAACAAATTTTAAAAAATTGTACTCATAGCAAACGGTGAATTAGCTATCATGTATTAAAAACATCCAAAAAGAGATGATAAGATCGCCGACCAAAACAATAATAAGATTAGATTACAATATCAAAGAACAAGAGAGATGTCATATACTGTATATTTTACTCTCTGCTAAACGACAAACAAAGCAGTACACTGAAAATGGAATTATGGGAAATTAAGATTTTTATATAGAAAAGAACAATAAACGGGATTAGTTGTAATAGTTAACCAATCGAGGACAGAGGGAAAAAAAAATGTAGATGTTTGAGGAAAAAAGAGAAAGAAGAGAAACAAACTTGGCCTTTGTAAGAAACTCGAGACAATTCAATCGTACACTTGGCCATTCATCGGGAAATAATACAAAGGCACAAATTCTGGCACACATATGTTTTTCATCTCTCGCCTTTCTCTTTTTGCTATATTTTAGAGGACTACAGAACAAACAATGAACATTTTCTTCTTTAAAAAATTTTTTAAAAAAATTTCGAACCACACCAAAAATACTTCACAAACACATGCACAAAAGGGATCGCTACCGAGCAGACGCAGCGGCAGCAGTAGTACATAATATGCACCGTAAACGCGACCGCCCAGGTCTGTCTCCGTCACCATCCTCATCTTCTTCCTCATCCTCTTCCTCCTCCTCATCCACACCATTATCGTAGCTGTATTCATACCCCGAAGAACCTTTCGTTGTCTTGTTATTGCTGTTACTGAAGGCAGCATCCATGAGGCACGTCTCGTGGTAAGCATGGCAGCAGAAGAAGACCACTACGGTGTCCCCTCTTATCGAGACCGGGTCGAAGCACATACAACACCGTGTGTCCCCCCGTGTCTTCGACTTCACCTCTGTCATCTTTATGCTCAAAGATTTATCTACTACCATTCTCTGCGAGAATGAGCGATTATTGTCTTCTCTCTTCGCACGGGAATCGTCGTCTTCATGGCTTAGGCAGACCCCGCGCCTAGCCTCGTTGAAGCACTTGACGAGAAGATTAACAATATCCGTCTGTACAACAACCCCCACACGTCAAATTCCCTGGAGTCTGTTCCAGATATATATTTATCAGAGGGACATTGGTGACATTAAACATATACCTTGAGAATGTCATTGCAACCGTGTCTAAGAGATGTCTCAGTTCTGTAATCTGTAACGATTTTGACCAATCGATCCCTTAATCTGAAAGCAGAGGAAACAATGAAGAGAACATTATTTTGACGGAAGAGTTCAGGAAGCATATGATTCTGCCAATGGTCTGTGTGCAAACATAGCTTTGGGTAAACCAAAAGGTTTGGCATCACATAGAAGAGGGTCGATGTTTATTTAAGTAAGAACACGTGATTGGACGAACTCATAAATAGAGTAACAGCAATGAGGGGTGATAGTTAAAACTAACCGAGGTATTTCCAAGCCATTTGGGACCATATTTACAATGTAAAGAGGGTCGAGATTGCCAACTGTGTGCTCCAACAGCAAGCCCACCTAAAATTGGTGGAAAGGAACAGAAGATTAAGGAAACAGTACTACATGGACACAAGTTTCCCAGAATCAAGGCTGGTTTGTGTTGTGATTCGCATCACAAAAACAGTTTTTACCATCTCAGGCTTGTTTAGACATTGTTTAATCAGCTCTTCCCATAGATCATCATCGTGCTGCATGGACACAAATTCCACAGCCTGCAGAAGATCGATCAAATTTAACTACCATCGCTTGTTTTTTGTATAACCAGTCAGAAAGACATCAATTAGTGTACAAGGATTGCGGAAAGAAGAGCAGTTACTGAACACAGAGTACTAAGACAATTACCTCTTCTATATCCCCCAGTTTATTTATGATGACTGCAAGAGCTTGTTTTGCATTTCCCATCCTTCCCAGGACAAACACTTGCTCTCTTAAAAAATCTTTCTTGACACAAAGCTCATATGCCTGGGATGTTGCAATAGATCAAGTTCACAAAGACATAACACAGAGATAGTTCATTTCAGTAAGCTGGCTACATTGTAATGTTAAGTACCTTTTCTAACTTGTAATGTTGACTGCTACGTAGGAACGGAAGTAGCATCTTAGTATCGTATTCTGCATAGAGTTCTACCTGCAGCATGTATATATTTTAGGAAAATATTTAAGTAAAAGAGAAAGAGAAAGGAAAAATCCATTCCATATATCAAGTTAACTACACATACCTGCATATCATGAAAATCCTTCCCAGTATCATGACTGACTTCAAATAATGCATGCAGATATAAGTACAAGTAATATCTTGAATCACATTTTTTGCCAGCTTTCAGAAGTTGTGGATTTTTGGCAGCTTTCAGAAGTTGTGGAACAACTTCAGATGGAGGAATCAAATCCCTCTTTTGGATAAATAAGACAGTGGCACGCTTGCAATCAAGCAACATTAACTGGACCACCTACACAAGTAGATAAGGGAAACAAAGTTCACCGGTCTGTATGACAAAATTATGAGGCCAAGACAAAATAGCAGTAGATATGCCTAAATCCCCAAGATAATACTACTCATTAGACCATCCCATAACCTTAAAATTGGAAATCATATGCTGTGGATCTCCAGATTTGTTTGAATTAGGTATTACACAGAAGTTGTACCTATATCTAAGAAAAAAATCATGAATCCCTAAGCTGCTAACATTAATGATGATGTTTAAATTTTGGATCGTCCAGGAAAACTCTACATAGTGTTAGAAGTCACAAACTATTAAAAAAAACTCTTGTATACCTTTCCGCGAATCGCCTCATGCAAGCTGTATTTCTCAATGAAGTCAAACACTTCTGGTTTGAGAAGCTGGAGATAAAAAGGAAAAGGAAATTTAGGTGACTATCAACGCAAGGAGGCCTGAATAAGATCGGGGCAGATACTTTTACAAATATTTTCTTAGTACATACGTACATCAGCATATAGGGAGAAGGCTTTCTGATACTGTCCATCAATTACATACAGCTCTGCCAGCGCCTGATACATGAAATAATAAAACAACTCTGAATCAGTTACTGTTAATAAACCTCAGCTTAACATGACAGACGATGCTGACCTCTTTGAGGGCATCTGTCATTGAAGATGTGTTCAGTTGAGGCTCTATTGCTGAGATAACAGTCAAAGCAGAATATACTGAACGTGGCCAAGATTTAACAGCTGACAAAAGCTCCTTGTGGTATGAGGGATTGGTTGCCAGCGCAACAAGAGCAACCTGCATCATAAAGAAATAAACTTCAAGATAAATGCCTCAATTGTTGCAAACACAAGTTTGCGTATACAAGTGAAGTGTTTTTTACTAATATATTTTTAAATTCTATAAAATAAAATATTTTTCATGTTTTATGAAGTTTTTTTGCATAGTGTAAAGAAACGGCAAAGCAGACTGTTTCTGTTTGGTTTTGAGTCCACGATTTACAAAGATTTTTATCTAAAAGTCAAGGTTGTGTATTCATTTGAAGAAAAACACGCTTTTATGACATGTCAACGTAAAAGCATACGCAATCAAACACTCTTATAAGCAATCATGAATTCCTTGGGTTTTCCTTAATAAAACTATCCAACTTTCATCTATTGGTTTTTAACAATTCCAAAGGAACAAGAACACGAAAAAAGTGCTATCTGTAGAAAGTTGTTTATATACAAACCTCATACACAGTATCCTTAAGCCTTGGGTTATCCGTAGGCATATATGGGACAAGAACAGGAAGCTGGCGTAGTTGAGCAAAATGGAAAACCCACCTGAAAAGAGAGCCACGATGTTAGATAAGTACATAACAACCAAAAACCAAACACTTAGCAAATGAGAGATACAAATTTGTTCAAACCTCTCCCAGGCTGAAGCAGATCCTCGTAACAATTTGGGGCATAAAGATGCTGCTTCAGCATATTTTCTTTCCACAATCAAATGATCAAGATACCCAGCTCCCACCTAGATAACTCGTTTGTGTTAGAGTTGAAAATTGCTAACACAATAAAGAAAAGAGAACATAATAGTTGGTTTCTCGACCAAGATCTGCTAGGCTTAGGAAACATCTGAACAGAGAATCCTTTGGTTAAGCGAAAAGGGTATTTCCAGAATAAAGTGTGTTTTTATTTTCGATGTCATGAAATATTGCATACAGAAAAATCAAAAATATGAAGAACAATAAAAAAACACTTTCCTATGCATTTCATCCCATTTTAGTAGAGAAAAGTGGAAAGCAAAAGAATGAACCATAAGGCGAAGAAAAATAAAAGGTTTAACACCTATTTTCGAAAAAGTACCTTATCAATTAGTTCGGTTCGTCCTTCACTAGCCTCAACAGCTGCTAGGGCTTTCTCGTGGAATCCATGTTGCAAAAGCCAGTTAATGTGATCTTCAGCATCCCTAACAAGAAAAAATCAGAATAAGTTAGCGACCGCAAGGTTCATTTACAAAGCACTAGAATAACATGGACAAAACAAAGAGTGACCACAAAAATCTACCTGGGTTTGGCAATCACAACATCCTTTGGAGAAACAATATAGTACAGTGGTTCATCACCAGCTGCCCACTGTCCCCCAGCGTAGCTACTACCTACACTCACATCAATTTTCCGAATAAGAATTCAAACGTAGGCTTTCCTTCCCCTAGGAAACAAACTACTTTCCGAACAAATCTCTGACCTGGGAAAGGAGCATGAGCAAGGGAATAGTCTTTCGCCTTGTAATGCTCAAAGCCGTGTACAGGAAGAGCATCCATTGTAAGTTCATCATTGTTCCATGATACAATGCGTATTTCAGGTCTCTGGGCATTTCCCTGGATTACTTAGAATCAGACTCAACAACGTCCCAAAAGGCATGCCAAAATTTATGTCCCTATATCTCATCCCAACACCAAACCACCACAAAGAGAGTACCTGACGCGATAGAGTAGTGGTGCTGCTAAATTCCTTCTCACCATCTCCTTCAATGGGTATATAAGCAAGAATAACCAGAGAATCACCAAAGGGAGCAATCCCTGAAATGTAATAGCTGGTTTGGAAAGATGCCACAATATCTACTTGGGTTAGACTAGACATCTGAATATGCCTAAAAGTTCCAGATTGTTGCTGGTCTGATTTAATCGAAGCAATTTTAACTGATGTCCCCCAACCAATCACAAGAAGAGTGTCATCCTGGAAACAATAAAAAAATAATCCTTCAAATCAATGCTTTTACATATGAATTCACAATCAAAGAAGTAATCAGACAAAATGAGTTATGCATACTAACCTGCCAAACCAAGTGGGGAAGTAAAGCCTCAGGCCTGGGACTTCCTCGCGGTTTTTCAATAAATGTAACACGCTGATCTTTGGCTGTATCATACACCTTAACACCAACATCATTAGCCCAGGCGATGAGACTTCCTCTCCATTTCACAGAATGGATTGGACCTTCCCCAGAATGCAGCACCTACAAAATCAGTCTCTTATCAAATTCACGGTGAGTAGATTGTATTCCAAAATGTAATCTACCGACATTCTCACAAACCTGGTCTTTATTACCGAACCACTTCTTGGAGTTCATATACAAGTGACCAGCCAAGCCACCAGCAACAAATCTCTTAGATTGATTTTTAGTATAATCTGGATCCAAGGAAATGGCCTTCATGGGACGATGATAATCAAATTTCATCTTCTCATCATCAGTGAAAAGGCTGTTTATAACAACAGAACCATCGTCTGAACAGCTTCCAATATACTCTCCCTCTGTGTCAAAGTTGAGGTCATTAACCGGAGCAGTGTGGGCACGAAATTCTTTAACCTGAACAAAGCATCATAAACCAAAAGAAAAATTGAAGTTTGACCAAACTATAGCTAAAGCAAACTAACTAAACTGTTCCACCAACAAACAATTCAACCTAACGAGATGCACGTAACATCTATCAACCTCAGCTCATCATCATTAGAGTATCACCAAAACACTAAAACTCCTAAAATGTTGGAATTGACCCGAAATTCCAAAAATCTATCAAAGCACTGGGAAAAAAAAACTCGCCTGATTCCCCAAGAAATCGAGGATATGCACGGTTCCGTCGTGTGTACCAAGCGCGATCATCCTTGCAGCAACAGCGATGCAGGAAGCAGCGTCGTTAGATAGCAACGTAGGCACGTTGCCACCCATCCGCTGATATTTCAGGCGTGGCTCCTCCTCAGCCTCATCTCCGTTCTCTTCTTCTTCTTCTTCCTCCTCCTCCTCCTCTTCTTCTTCTTCCTCTCTTTCGTCATCTCCGTCCACGCCGTTTTCAGGCGGAACCGAAGCCATTACCACCGTGCAATTGCAGTATATCCCTCCACAATAGCTCCGATCAGATCAATCCGACTTCAACAGAGAAAAACAGATCTGCCTCCTTTCTGAATTGAATCTTCTTCGCTGTTGTATCCTTCAAAAAATTTGATTCAGGTTTTGGTATCGGTAGAAAATTAAATTAAATTATTGGTGATGACAGAAGAGAAAAAAATTAAATGGAAATTAATTAATGATTTGGAAGGCGACAAAGAAAAAGGTGCCACGTGTGCGATTGTTACTTAATTTTTTTATCTCCTTTTATTTGACCCTTTTATGTTTTAGATAGAGACGTGGTGTAGTCGCAGAGCAACATGAAACTCGACAATGTTAAGAATTTTTCTTTTTCTCTTTAAAGGTTGTTGGTAAACAAAGAAGCCTAAAGTAACCTAGTAGTCCCAATCATTTTCTTTTTTCACAAAACTTGGGACTTTTGCCTTTGCCCACTGTCACACGATCTAATTTGAGATATATAAGATTCCTTGACAGAGTTATGACGACATTTGGTTCAAACAAATAGAAGAATCTCAAGTTTTCTGGTGAGATCACACCCAAGGATCAACTCCTTCTCCACACAAAAAGTTCAATTTTTTTTCTTTCTTAGAATCTATCCTTGTGTTAGGTTTTGATTGACATAGAAACAGATTCAATTGATGCTCAATCACTCACAGAAAGAATGAATATAAAAACGAAAAAGAAACAACAAGTAATGAGTTTGCAGGTTCGATCAAGAGTATGTTTCCGCAGAGATCTATCCCTGGCTAGTGGCTACTGGTTTTTCACCATCCATTCTTACATATCACAACAAGATTCATAAATACAAGAAGAGAAAACACTTAAGCCAATGAAAACTCTCTAGGTTTTAACTGAGTCTTTAGGTTTTATCTCTTTCATTCTCTTCACAACTTTTCTCTTTAGTATGCATCTCTATTCTTGACTAAAAAACAGATCATCTTGTTTACAGTTTTGTTGTTGCTTTCATTTGCCTTTTAAGCGTATACTTGTACTCATAAATATGACCATGTTTTTTTTCTTCACTTTTTGCTAGTAGTGTCACTGTTTTTTCCCTTTTGTGGAATCCTAACCAACTGCATTGTACATTTTTAACCATTGTCAACAAAATTAATAACATTAAATTTTAACATGTAAAAAAGTTATGACTCTAAAGCCATTAAATATTTAACAAACAGTAATTACAATAGTTTTGAATTGGGTATAAGCATATATATATATATATATATATATATACACACAATCTTAAGAGGCATGATTACCACGAATCCAATGAGTTGAACAGGAGAATCGAGTTTTGATAGGCCAAAAAGAATGTACAGTCATGGCCCCTACATCTCCCTGATGGCCGATAACAACCTAAAAGGACAATATATTTCTCTTAAAAGTTTGACGATCTCGTAGGACTCTTAAGAGCAAATACAGTTGGAAAAAAATCTGTATCATCAGAATTCAGAAGAGTCTTCATTTATTCGATGTAAAAGAAGATTTGTTTCTGCCATCTCATGTAGATTTCAATACGGCCTTCCAACTACTCTTGAACATCTAGAAACGATACTCTAGTGACCAAATCTTCACATGCAACAAATTCTAAAAAAAAAAAGGAGAGAGGGAGAGTGATGAGCTATAAGAGAAATTATGTATAACACTGTTAAGATTTAATGCTTATTACGTACGTTCAATGCCAGCGACGGGACGTCTTTCATTGACATAAACGACCATTCGATGCAAATACTAAATGCCAACATATACTTACTTCAATGGGGGACAAATTTAAAATACATGTTTCAGTTTGATTGAACAAGTAACTTGTGGTTTATATATAGAGCACAGAGTAATTTAAATGTAAAACCTACCAAACATTATTTTAGGCTTGTAAGTAATTTTGTTCATCGAGAAAAGACTATAGTAACATGGTAATTCTCGAACACAATCAAAGTGGAGGATGACATGGCCGTATCTGATTGGTTCATATAGTAGGCTGCGAAGCAGCGAATAATTCCAAAGGGGCGAGTCGGAAAGTGGACATCAATTATGAAATGAAAATATTATTTTTAAGTTGATGAAATGGTATCCTATGCCAACCATTTGTACGTATTTAGACATACAATCGAAGAATGATGTGACACATGAGTTATATGTACACAAGGGGAATAGCAACTAAAACACTATAGGTTTGGATAAGCTTCTTCGTTAACTTTCAATTTTTAATACATAACCATGTTTATTTTAAATGGTTAACCAAATTAGTATACAAATTAATTACGTAAAACACTAATGAACCTAACTAACTAATTGACTCCTGCATTTCTATAGGTTTAGGACACAGGGGCAGTTGAAAAGTTTCACTTGTAATTCCCAAAACAATGAAGTTGCACAAAAAGCATTGAATATCCGAATATTCATTTATTCAAGATTAATGCATACATGGACATTTTCGCAAAATACAAACTCTTTAATCTCTTCCTTTTCTCTCTCTCTCTCTCTCTCTATCTATCACTTTCTATATTCCAATTTCACTTTCAAATTAATATTCTTTCCTTTGGAAGGTAAAAACCCACGAAACTTTCACATCCATGTGACCATGTCTAAGGTTCTCGAGCCCCTAGAAGAAGAAAAGACAGTAGAGCAGAAACCCAGAAGCCAAGAAGAAGAAGATCATCAAGAGAGTTCGAAGAAAGAAGAGTTGTTAGAATCTCTGTGTACTCCAACTTCAAGTGATCACAAGATTCCGGAGGTGGAGACATGTCCTCCGCCGCCAAGAAAGCGACCGCGTGAGATTTCTCTGACAAAGAAGAATAGATTGTCCAAAGATCTTCGGTTCTTCGAAGCCACCGACGTCGGAAGCCAAGAGGTAGAGGCTTTATTCGTTCACGAACCAAACCATATCCGTAAGAAACGGAGGAGTTATAGTGCCTGAATCAAATTTGATTCTGTAGATATACTCTTCTTTCTTTACCTTTACACATAATTTTCAATCGCTTTATATACTACTTATTATAATAATCTTTAGTCCGAATTCGTGTTTCTTTATGGGATTTTAACTCTGCTTGTGTACATGATTTTGTATATTCGGTCTTCTTTTTTTTGTCTTTAACACTTTGATCTTCATGATGTCTCCTAAGATGGTGGGATTTAATTTGTTTCTAAGATTTAGAAATAAGAAAGAACTTAGAGATGGGAGACTAGTAGGTGAGTTATGATAGCCATCTCATCTTTAGGTGATTAGGGTTAAAAACACAATTACTTAGCTTTGGTTTGGTAGTGAAAACCTTTTTTTTGTGTTAGTTAATTTGGTTATAAAAAATTGTCATTGAATGATTCAGATATCGAGCATGACATAATTTTAAAATAAAGATTAGATCATTATGTATATATCTTAGAACGTTTTTTTCTATCTGGGATCATTTTTTTTTTGCTTCTACAAACCATGATAAAGAAAGAAAATTACAATAAGACAACAAAAAAATATAGAAAAATTAGTTTTTTCCAGCGATCAAATAATTAGCGGCAAATCCAAACATGTTTCAAGTTTGTAATGAAATCGAATGAAGCCTAAAATAAAAATCATTAATAATAAATTGTTTGAAATTACTTTTTTTTTTACATTACATTAATGTTTTCTGGGAACGAAATTTGTTTTTTTAAACTGGTTGTGCTGCTGAGCGGGTGATCGTGGTCTTCTTTGGTCACATATAATTTCATTAGAAAAAAATATAATAGAAAATGAAAATATATCTATACTATTAAAAGGGAATCATTCTAACTAAACTAACCCTATAAAGTGTAAAAAATTACAATATAATGCCATTGAAAAATTTAAAACCAACGCCTAAAAACCAGAAATCGTCAGAGGGTATAATGGACAAATTTAATGCCAATTACACGCGGATCTTGGATCCATTACCAGCGGATCTTGGAGCCAGCAGTCGGATCCCTATCCAGAAAACGTTTTTTGAGCTTACTGGGCTTAGTCGACGTTGGGCCTTTATATTTCTCTCGCATTTAGTAGATCTGCATTAATTCAAAACATAATATTAGATTCGTGATTACTAAAGATATTTTCCATAACAAACAAATCTATATTTACTAACTAAACTAAACCGATATTTCGCATTTAGTAGATCTGCATTAATTCAAAACATAAAATTAGATTCGTGATTGCTAAAGATATTTTCCATAACAAACAAATCTATATTTACTAATTAACTAAACCGATATTTCAATAACAACTCAATCCCATATATTTAGATGATTCAAACAAAACTTATCTCGACATTCTCGATTTCCTTGATTTCTTATTACTTTACCCAATAATAACAAACTCTATATCTTCATATCCGAATATACCTTAACTATTCTTATTCTCAAATCTTCTCTTAGGCGGGAATTTTCTAAACCCTAAGCAACCCTATACTTTCTCCATCTCTTATAAATATAGAAATCAAACGACATTCTCAATACACACTAAGCTATCAAACTCAAAGCATACCTCTCAAACAATGGCTCTTCCCATCACAGAACTTAATGCAGTCAAACCATTCAAGACTCAATGGAAGATCCAAGTGAAAATCGTCCATTCATGGACTCAATACACCCAATATTCCGGGGAGACTGTCGAGATGATTCTTGCTGATACATCTGTAATTTACGATTTATCAATAGTATAGATTTACTCTTCTAATGATTATTTGTAAATAAAATGTTTAATTATCTTTTTTTGCTAAATACAGGGTACCTTGATTCATGCAACTGTCAAGAAACAACAAGTCAACAAGTTTCAAAAGCTTATCACAACTGGAGAGTGGAGAACTGTTGAAAATTTTACAGTTGCAAAATCTACTGGAAAGTACCGGCCTACCAGCCTCCCATTCAAGATGACCCTCATGAATACGACTGCTATAAGTCGTATTCCCTCAATTTCTGATGACCTTTACTTTGATTTTGCTAACTTTCCTGACATTCTGAATGTTAATGGATTGAATGAAAACATTTTGATTGGTATTTTCCATTCTGCCTATTTCTTTCTATAGTGTTTAAATCTTAAGAAAATAACAAACTAACATCATTTCATATATTTACAGATGTTCTTGGTCAGGTCGTGAGTTTAGGTGAGATGACAACTCACGATGTCAACAACAAAGCCACCAAAAGATTTGAGTTTGAGCTGCGTGATACAAAGTTTGTAATCTATTTACTCTTTTAATTTTTACAAGCAACTGTCTATTTTTAAAATACAAAGTCTGTCATTTGTCTATTATAGTGATGAACGCTTGACATGTACTCTTTGGGGGAGATTTGCTGAGAGAATGTGGGATGCATGTCAAAATGGAGGCAATGAAAGGGTCATTTGTTTGATTCGCCTTGCTAAAATTGGTACATTCAAAGGTATATTGATTAGGTTTTTGGACGTGTGGATGCTTAATATGTTTATATTATTACTATATATTACTAATATATTGCAAATTTATCAGGTGAAAGATCTATTTCAAATGCCTTCGACATGTCTTTGTTGGAAATAAATCCAAACTATCCTGCTGTCCAAGATTTTGTGAACAAGTAAGTTTGTGAAAAAACTTATAATATACCTAATATATGATTTTCTAACGTATACACTTATATTTTCTCTTATCTTACATTGAACAGCTTGCCAGCAGACGTCCCTGCACTTACTATTCAAGAAGTGATGCCTAAGGATGCCAAAATCATTAAGAAGAAGGCATATTTTCAGACTTTTCCCAGGAAAACCATTTCTGAACTTTTTGAGGCCACTGAGGTAACTATTTTCCATAGATTTTGAAAGCAAATCTATATATTTAAATATAAAGACTAATATGTTTCTACTATGTGTGTAGGTTGGTAAGTGCAATGTTATTTGTACTATCTTGAAAGTGGACACAGACTATTCTTGGTATTGGTTTAGCTGTCTAAAGTGTAGCAAGACAGCATATAAGATACCAAAAATTGAAAATGAGATTGTCAAAAAAGGGAAGAAGCCATTGTTTTGGTGTCCAACATGTAAGGAAGATACTCCTAAGGTCCTACCAAGGTAACTACATTATTTATGTTCTTTGGATACACGATATTTTATAAGATTCTGGCTAACTCCATCTTCAATGTTAAATTTTGTGATATAGGTACCTTTTAAACCTTGCAGTCATGGATAACACTGGAAATACTATGTGTAAGTTGTTTGACAAAACAGCAGCTGAGATCATCGGAGTGTCTGCAGAGGATCTTTTGGAAGGGAATTGGGATGAGGTAATACTATTTTACAATGAGTTATTATCAATAGAAATTGGTATTACAATTACTAATAATGAATTTACCATACTTGACATAACAGATAAAGGATCCAACTAATTTGCCCGGACCTATTAAAGATTTGGTTGGAAAAACATTCCTGTTTGTTGTCAGTATTGGAAAGGAGAACATCAATGACACAGATGACACATACAAGGTGTTCAACGTCTGGTTGGGTAATGATTTATATGATAATGATACTGTTGAAGAATCCGAGAACCAGAATGATCAACATACTGACCTGTCTATTGATCAGGTAATGTAAACAATTGGTGCACCCAAACAAGTTCTATCAAATACTTATTCAACTATATCACTAAAGGGCAGGATCTTATTCAAAGATTAGTGAGTACCACCTATTGTTTTGAAATATCGAATGGTGTTTAAACATTGTTAACTAAGTGGCATCAAAACTCTTTTATATACTATTTTCACTAATATATACAATGGTTGCTGCTTTGAAACAGGAAGCACTTGCTTTGACTAATAGTAGTGACAACACAGATGTCAACACTACTTCTTCTGCTACTCCTTCTTCAAAGAGAAGTAATGAAAGTTCTGACGAAGCTGAAGGGCAGTCTTCTACTACTAAAAAGGTTTGTGTCTCTTCAATTCGTGAGAAGATTGAAGAGGAGAAGATTGAAGAGCAGAATGTTGAAAAGCAGAAGATTGGAGACGAGAAGATTGAAGATGAGAAGATTGAAGAGGAGAAAATTGAACCTAATTAGAATGTGGGATCTGTGGTAAAGTGGGGCAGGGTAAAGTGGATCATGGAAGTTGTTCTATTATTATGGTTTTTCTGTTTTCCCTATTTTCAGAATTATTATGTTATTTTGTTTCATGTTTGCTACTCCAGTTATTTTCATTTCAATCAATAAAGACTTTTGAATTTAGAGTTTACTAACCTCGTGTGAAATCTGCTTCAAGACTGAAGCTTGGCCACTTCCATCCTTCTTTCCACATTCAATAATCCTGGAGACAATACAAATTAATAGTATAGATATATATATTTGAACAAGCAATCAATGAAAATCAATAACTACAATATACATAGTCACATAAATAGTACTTTTGCTTATAAAGCACAACTTAATCAAATTATAGATATATTTATGAACAATCATGCAATGAAAATCAATAAATACAATATACATACTCACAGAAATATTGTACCTTTGCTTATTTCGAAAATCAAAACAGTTGGATTGATAAATTATATCACAACAATCAAATTCAAAAGTCTTTAAAATATCCATATAAACTAACATAATATTTGCATATCAAAATATAATACCTACTTCCTATATCTGTTTGAGAAATATTACCTAATCACCTAAACATTATGAAATTCCATATACTTATCTATCAAAATAAATCTTTTCTGTTATCTCAATCACAATCAATATTATTGATTCGATTTTCATCTAATAATAATATTATAAAACTTCTAGCTGTCGTCTACACAGAAATTTCTTTGAAACTTTGATCACACCAGATTTGGATATACAATCTAAATCAGAAAAGGTTATGTTCAAAGCTTTTTCATAATGAAAAGGAGAAAAAATCAGTGTTTTAATGAAAATAGCAATGCTATGCAGACAGATAACACAAAGCGTTATAGGTGTCGCCACAGTGATGAAAACAGAAACCCAAATATCAATCATGAAGGTCCTACCAGTAATATTCAAGTAAAAGGTATTTTCAATCGATTGTTAGGAGGAATTAGTAACATACCAGCCAATGAAAATGAAGTCTCTGCTCCTACTGCTGGTGTTCCTTCTTCTTCTGTAAAGAGAAGACATGAAACTGGTTAGTTTCTTGATTTTTTTTTTTTGAGAACTAAAGAGTACATTCATATTATTAATCAATATAATTGTATATGAAATGAATCTACAGTTACTGTAGGAGGAATTAGTAACAGAGCAGCCAATGAAAATGAAGTCTCTGCTCCTACTGCTGTTGTTCCTTCTTCTTCTGTAAAGAGAAGACATGAAACCGGTTAGTTTTCTTGATTATTTTTTTTAGAACAAATCATGTCTATCAGATTATTAATCCATATAATTGTATAGGAGAAGATTCTACAGTTACTTCTACCAATTCCCTAAGATCAGCAAAGAAAAACGCAAGGACACAGAACAGACCTGCTCAAAGATTGCAGAATATTACAAACACATCAAATACTGACAGTGAGGTTGTTCAAACACCTCTGAATCCAAAAAAAGCACCAGAAAAGACTCGAAAAAAGTTGAGTCCTCCATCTGTTAACAGCAAAAAAGGTATACATGCAAATTTTAAAAATTTTAAAAGTTTGTTGTCAAACCAATGTTTCAACACTGAAATTCTATCGGAGAAAAGTGATGGCTATCTTATTTGAAATGTAGCTGCTAATGGTATTATACTTACAAATTCAAGAAACTCTTTGAGGTTTGCCAAGTCTTCTGCAAAGGAGACACAAACAAAAAACAAGAGATGTTGTCGAAGCAGTGAAGGACACTCTGATGAAGGACTGCATTCAGAAGAAGAAACCGGAATTAATATGACTGATCATCAAAGTTACAGTAAGTGAAAATTCATATGATATAAATTCTAAACCAGACAATCATTCACTCAGCAAATTATGTTTTATATAGGGACTTTGGAGGAAAATCTTGAACAGGTTTACGATTGTAGTAGTGCTGATGAAACTAATTCTGAAGCATCGGTTGATTATGAATCCATGGAAGATATCAGTGATGAAGTCAAGCAAAGATACGATTTTTTAACATTGTTAGATGAAAGTTTGACTAAAGCTTTTGGAGAAAAGAAAACTACTAAAGTTTCAAGCAGAAAGAAAAAACAAACAGGTACTATCTAATCGTATCAGCTTCTAATCTTTCCTTAAACAAAGTTTACAAAAACTAAGTATTCTCACTGTTATTGTAGAGTACCTAGATCATGGAGATCCTGTATACTCATGTTCATATTGTGGTGCTATTATGTGGTACGGAGAACGCATTAACAGACAAAGAAAAGTTCGTAAACCAGTTTTTACGCAATGTTGTTTGCAAGGATCGGTGAAGCTGCCTTTCCTCCATAATCAACCAGAATTGTTATTTGCGTTGCTAACCAATGATGACGACATGAGTAGACACTTTAGAGAGAACATTCGAGCCTATAACATGATTTTCTCATTTACTTCTCTTGGGGGGAAATGTGAAAACTCTGTTAAATTAGGGCGTGGTCCTAATATGTTTCAAATACAAGGAGAGAATTATCATCTTCTAGGAAGTTTGAAACCTGGAGAAGGAGATTTTGCTAAGTTTAGTCAACTATATATAGTCGATACAGAGAATGAAGTTGAAAACAGAGCCGGAATTTTAAGGTATGCTTGCTATTTTAAAATAAGCAATCAGAGTTTGTTTTAATCGATTTCTGTAATCATCTCCATGATTTGACTAACTATATTTATATTTCAGCAAAGGAAAATCTGCTGGGAAATATAAGAAGAAGCCAGAGCTGAGAAAAGAAATAATTGAGGCGATAATAAAGCTGCTAAATGAAGTTAATCCATACGTTGCTCATTTTAGACAAGCTCGTGATAGGTTTAATACGAATCCTGAGCAGAGCTTTCACATGAAAATAGTGAGTGACCGTGTCAAAGATGGAAGAACATATGCAGTGCCAACGGCTTCAGAGGTTGCAGCACTTATTCCAGGTGATTTTCATATTGGCATGCCAAGTCGTGATATTATTATTGAAGAAAAAGATGGGTATTTGCAAAGAATCAGTGAAATAGAACCATGTTATCTTGCTCTACAATACCCTTTGTTGTTTCCACATGGTGAAGATGGTTATAGGACAGGTATTAAGAAAGGGGATAATCATGGTAAAAAGAAAAATAAGCCTGAAGGTACTGAGGAGAATAAGTGCATAAGCTTGCGTCAATGGTATGCGTTTCGTATACAAGAGAGAAAGAATGAACCAACTATCCTACTAAGGTCAAAACGGTTGTACCAGCAGTTCTTGGTTGATGCTTACACCACCATAGAAGCTAATAGGCTCAAATATATTAAGCTTAATCAGTCAAGTTTAAGAGCTGCTAACTATGATTCTGTTAAAGAGGCTGCAAATAACGGAAAGACAGATATGAATGATGAAGGAAAAGCTTTTTATTTGCCAGCTACTTTTGTTGGTGGACCAAGATACATGAAGAATATGTACATGGATGCAATGTCTACATGCAATCATTATGGATTTCCAGATCTATTCATTACGTTCACGTGCAATCCAAAATGGCCTGAGTTGGTAAGATTCTGTAATGAGAGAAACTGTAATTCTGATGATAGGCCAGAGATCATCAGCAGAATGTTCAAAATGAAGCTGAATTCTCTTATGGATGATTTAACGAAGAAACATATACTCGGGAAGACTGTTTCATGTAAGTGAAAAATGTTTTTAAATTCGACAATTGTCAATATTTCTATGGTCCGGATTCTGTTATATCTTACGTCAAGGTTGATCTAATTATATTTCTGAATTTTGGTGATGCAGCAATGTATACAATTGAGTTCCAAAAAAGGGGTCTTCCTCATGCACATATTTTGATATGGATGCATCCAGATTCTAAATTTCCAAAGCCAGAAGACATAGACAAAATCATTTCTGCTGAAATTCCTGACAAGAATAAAGAACCAGAACTTTATGAGGTTGTTAAGGATATGATGATTCATGGACCATGTGGCGTTGTGAACCAGTTTTCACCGTGTATGGATCAAGGCAAATGTTCAAAGTTTTTTCCAAAGAAACTTAGAGATCATACTAAGGTTGATAAGGAAGGTTTCCCTTTGTACAGAAGAAGAAAGACAAAGCGCTTTGTGGAGAAGTGTGGATTTAAGTGTGACAATGGATATGTGATTCCCTACAACAAAACGTTGTTGCTTCGCTATAGAGCTCATATTAATGTTGAGTGGTGTAACCAAACAGGCTCTATCAAGTACTTATTCAAGTATATAACTAAAGGAATGGATCGAGTTTCTGTGGTTGTTGAGCCTACTGGAAAGTCTACTAAGACTACAACCGAGAAAGAGAAGCCTAATAGTTCGAGTACCGGAGAAACAAGTAAAAATGAGATACAAGACTTCTTCAATTGCAGGTATAAAACTGTTTTTATTTACATTAACTTTATCTAGATCAGACTTCAAACTCTTAAATGATTTTTTTTTAAAAAAACAGATATGTATCAGCATGTGAAGCTGGATGGAGAATCTTGAAAAACCCTATACATTATCGGTCAACATCTGTTCAGAGATTATCGTTCCATCTACCAGGAAAACAACTACTGTATTTTAAAGGTGATGATGAGGTAGAAACAGTTTTGGAAAGATCAGAATTACAGAATTCGATGTTCCTTGCTTGGTTTGAATTGAATAAAAGATGTCCTAAAGCCAAAGGTCTCACGTATACTCAGATTCCGCAATTTTACACGTGGGATGGTAAAACAAGACATTTCAATATGAGGAAGCGACCAGGGAAGACACTTGGAAGGATAAATTATGTCCCACTTTTTTACGAAGAAGGTTATTATCTAAGAGTGCTTCTTAATACACAAACAGGACCTGAAAGTTTTGAAGATCTAAAGACAGTTAATGGTGTACTGTACGAATCTTTCAAAGAGGCATGTTATGCTTTGGGTTTGTTAGACGATGACCAGGAGTATATTGATGACATAATAAGAACCAGTTTTTGGGCTACCGGAAATTACTTGCGTTGTATGTTTGTTTGTATGCTCCAGTCTACCACCTTATCTCAACCAGAAGTAGTTTGGGAAAAAACATGGGAATATCTAACAGAAGATATCGAAAGAAAAAGGAGAGAGTACTTTAACAGACCAGGTATGAATGATTTCGAAATCTACCTATTGTTTATTCAAACAGTTGTTATTTACAAAATGGAGAAAAGATATGAAATGATTATTATGCCTTCCTTATGACCGGTTTTTTCTTTTTTAAACGCAGAACTCACACTAACGGACGAGCAGAAGCAGATTTTGGCTTTAAAAGAAATCAACAGTATATTAAGAAGCAATGGAACATCTCTATCAGCTTTCAAAACGATGGCTCAGTTACCTGATGAGGAAATTGATGATAGTAACGTCTTGATACTTGACGAAAAAAACTATGATCGGAATGAACAGAAGGAAATACTTGAAGAATCATTGCAGAAAATGACGGATGAGCAGAAGAGTGTTTATTCAGAGATCATCGATGCTGTTGATAATGACAAGGGAGGTGTCTTTTTTGTCTATGGCTTTGGTGGAACTGGGAAAACTTTTATATATAAGACACTTTCAGCTTCTCTAAGATCTAGAGGTTCAATTGTGCTCAATGTTGCTTCCAGTGGTATTGCTTCTCTATTGCTAGCTGGTGGGAGGACAGCGCATTCTCGGTTTGGTATTCCAATTAATCCTGACGACTTCACTGTTTGTAATATTGAACGTGGTTCAAATCAGGCAGAATTAATAGAAGAAGCGTCTTTAATAATTTGGGATGAAGCTCCAATGATGAGTAAGCATTGTTTTGAATCTATGGATAGGAGTTTTTCTGATATTATTAAAGGTGGTGGAAAAAAACCTTTTGGTGGCAAAGTAGTAGTTTTTGGTGGTGATTTCAGACAAGTATTACCTGTGATACATGGTGCGGGAAGGGCAGAAATATGTATGGCTGCCCTTAATGCTTCATATCTTTGGAATCATTGTAAAGTTTTGAAGCTCACCAAAAATATGCGGCTTCTTTCAAAAGATTTGAGTCCCAGTGAGGCGAAGGATCTCAAGGAATTTTCAGAGTGGATTCTAGCAGTTGGTGATGGTAAGATAGCACAGCCTAACGATGGAGAAGTGATGATAGAAATTCCTGATGAGTTTTTAATCAAAGATGCTGATAATCCAATTGAGACAATAAGCAGGGAAGTTTATGGAGATCCTAAGTTATTGAAGGACAAAAACGATCCAGTCTTCTTTCAACAGAGGGCGATTTTATGCCCCACAAATGAAGATGTTGGTATGATCAACGATTATATGCTTGATCAAATGGAAGGTTAGTATCCAATACTAACCATGTTATTGAGCTTTTGTAATATTTATATGTTGTTAAAGTCAATGTTATATTTTGTGTAGGTGAGGAACAAATATACCTAAGTTCTGATTCTGTAGATCCTTCTGACATTGGAGGTAAGAATAATCCAGTTATAACATCAGAGTTTTTGAACAATCTAAAGGTATCTGGATTGCCAAATCATGGTATAAGGTTGAAAGTTGGTTGTCCTGTGATGTTACTAAGAAACCTAGATGCAAGAGGAGGATTAATGAATGGCACCAGGCTGCAAATAACACAAATGGCTGACAAACTTATTGAGGCAGTCATTATTACAGGTGATAGAGTTGGAGATAAAGTGATCCTTCCCAGGATATTGATAACTCCATCCGACAGTAAACTTCCTTTTAAAATGCGAAGAAGACAACTTCCAATAGCAGTGGCTTTTGCTATGACCATTAATAAAAGTCAGGGGCAATCTCTGAATCATGTTGGCATCTATCTTCCCAGGCCATGCTTTTCACATGGCCAACTATATGTGGCTATCTCAAGGGTAACTTCAAAGAAAGGACTGAAGATCCTAATAGTGGATAAAGAAGGCAAACCGCAGAAGGAAACGATGAATGTGGTGTTTAAGGAAGTTTTCCAGAACCTATAAGACTAAGCGTTGGAAGAGACATTTGTTCACAGAGGTAAGAACCAATATGAAATGATTCTGATATATATCTGTTATACTATACGAGTTTCTTATTTCTTTATGTCTGAGCAGGTCAAACAAGGTATGAAAACGTGTGTTTGGCAAATAAAGGAATCAGTGATTGAAGTTTCAAGAGAAGAACTGATACCTAACCCTACTGTTTCTGTTATTTTCATGTTTTCTTTTTACATGAATTCGAAGACATATCTAGCTTATAACAGCTTAACTTTGTTTTTCAAAAGTTTTCTGTCCTAATATCTTCATATTCAGTAATATGAAGTTAACTATTTCCTATTTATAAGTAATAATGGTTATTACTGCTAACCAAACAGTCTGATCAATTATAATATAGAAAATCTCACAACTTACTACTTCTATTAACAAACAAATGCAGAATAAAGCTCCAACAGCATCACAAGAAACGAAATTACTGTTTAAAATTTCTGACATAATTAATTTGTAACTATTTTATCTACACTTATTCAACCAGATTTGGAAATCAATAGAGTAGGTCTATATTGTTATCACCTAATCAAAAGTGTTATGTTTAATATCTTACTAACCTTTTAAATATAGATCTCTGAAAACCTCCAATTACAACACCAAATCTCTTCCCTCCTTAAGAATCCAACTTCAAACCGATCATTTGTCTTCAGATTTTTAACAGTTATCAAAGTTTCATTAGTACAACCATATAAATCATTCTAAAGACTAAGAAACATTGCCGTTTAAAATTAAACGGATTCTACCAAATTATATTTCAAGAATGCTCCAAATTGAACTGTTACTGCTTCAGCTCCATAAGAATTATGTGCGCAAAATTGTACTTCGCCTGCAAACATTGAACTTTGTATCATGAATCTAACAATCAGCTAAAGAATAATGAAGCAGGAGCATTTTGCAATAAAGTGCTCAAGTTATACAATAATCTGGATAAAAAAAACTTATCTTCGTTCTTCTTCTTCTTTTGAGAAACCATCGAAATATGGCTACTAATCTGAAACAATTATAAAAACAAAAAAAGATTATAGATTTACAGCTTAAAAGATATACTGAAATTGATTAGATTTAGTCTATTAACACTATGAATTTTGAGAAGAAACAGATTGATTGACTAACTAACATGTTTAAACAAAACGAAACATGTAAAAAAATTGCATGCAATTAGATATGAAAAACGTAATAATTAATCAAATTTTTGTGGGTTATTCACAATCGTTGTATAAGATCTATAATGAAACAAGAAAAAATCTATGGTAGAAACCCAATCGACAGATTCCAAAAAAGTTCAAACAAAAATCAAAGAGAAGAAAAGCTTACCTCTTTTAAGATCTTATAATTTGCAAAGAATTGAGGTATAAGCGAAGACGATGGAAGTGGATTTCGGATGGATTTCGATACAGCTTCGTCGATCTGCCGACAAAGATTATTTTCTCAGATTGGAAAATTGTCGAAGGTTTCAGACAAAGAACAAAAAGGAGTATCTTTCCAGATAAAAAAAAAACATAATATGAAATAATGTCAGGACCAATATTTGTGTGTTTTACGGCCCAACACAAATATTTATGATGAATGTATATGGCCCATTAAGTGTTGTACTCATTATATAAACTAGCCCCGCAAGATATTCTGCCCATTATGACAAATATATTGAATTTGGACCAAGAAAAAAGACAAAATGTGACCATGTTAGTGTAAAATTGATATTAATCATTATAAATTAATAGTATAGAGTTGTATCAATATAAAAAAATTAATAGTATAGATTTGATATTTTTTCTTACTATACTAATTACTAAACACAGAAATTATGTTACAAAAAAAATTTAATTTAACAAGGTAATGTTTTGTAATACCCAACTATTTTTATACAAAATATACCGGAATACATATGTCTCGAACGATTTGATCAGTTCCCAGTACTAATATATTCAATCCGGTAATTTGTTACATAAATCTATTTTAAATAGTCATAACAAATTCAAACTGATACACACATTCGAAACCTAGATGTCATAAATTTTATACTAGAAAATCTGCAGGTACAAAAACCCCGCACGTACGTGCGGGTCCTGATCTAGTACGTTGTAAAATTAAGTTAAGATCTCACCAAAAAAACAAAAATTAAGTACGGTTAAGGATGTTATCGTGGGCTTTGAGGCCCGTTTAGATGTAGTCATATAGACCCATTTATATGCCCATCGGGTTTGGGTTAGTTATTTAAACAGATACGAATCACCGGATAAGTTTTCTTACTTTTTTACAACCACCGCGTCCAACGTTAAGGTATACGAACGACACGTGTCACCACATGTCAATCGGGGAATTACTGTTACCCCATCCCAAAAAGCCTTTTTATATCTTAACCACTTAACAATTACGGTTTCACTAACGAAGAAAATGGCGCCGAGAAAACCAAAGGTGGTTTCCGTGACAAAGAAGAAGAAAGTAGTGGAAGAGACAATCAAAGTAACCTTCACGGAAGGAGGAGATCCGTGTGTGACCACCGAAACAGCGAACGATCAAGAGACCCAAGATCTCACTTTCTCTATTCCTGTCGGAGAAAACGTTACTACGGTTGAGATTCCGGTGGAGGTTCGAGACGAACAGTCACCTCAGCCACCGGAAACTCCCGCTTCCAAGAGTGAAGGCACTTTGAAAAAAACAGATAAGGTTGAGAAGAAGAAGAAGAAAAAAAAGAAGAAGAAGAGAGACGATTTGGCAGGAGATGAGTATAGGAGATATGTGTATAAAGTGATGAAGCAAGTGCATCCGGATTTAGGGATAACGTCGAAGGCGATGACGGTAGTGAACATGTTCATGGGAGATATGTTCGAGAGGATAGCGCAGGAGGCGGCGAGGTTAAACGATTATACGAAGCGGAGGACGTTGTCGTCGAGGGAGATCGAAGCAGCGGTGAGGTTGGTTCTCCCTGGTGAACTTAGCCGCCACGCTGTCGCTGAAGGCTCTAAAGCTGTTAGTAACTATGTTGGTTATGGTAGTAGGAAACGTTAGCTAGTTAGTTTTGATTCCCTAATCGTTGTAACTTTTCCTTGTAATGTTTTTCCAACTTTAATGTTAGGGGAAGGTTTAACTTAGAGATTATGTTCTATAGTTATGTGATTATTTCGTTTCGTGTTCTATGAATGTTCTGTAGAATATTTCTTGTTGTCGAAAAGGAGATGGGTACTTGATAATTTCAATCGTGGTTTATTTAGCGTTCATATTTCTTTTCCTCTAAGATCTTTGTTGTTCATCTGATTAAAAGACATTTGAAAAGAAGAAACATTTGACAAAAATACAAAAAAAGAGTTCCTGTTAGTACTTAAAATCAGTGGAAAGATACAATTTCTAAGATTATGAAGTGATAACTAACATGACAATCGACTTTGACGTGATAGCTGGCTCAGTTTGTTGATGGTTTAACAAGATATGTTGTGATTAATGTATGGTTCACTTCAACCATCCTCTGTTAGTTAATGGAGTAATTAGCTTCAAAAATATGTACATGTCACTAGGTTCGTAACATAGTGCCATCGTTCGAGCAAGAATTGATTGTTTTTCCAAATGATAAGTTAATGAAATCCACTAGAGTATAAATATTCTGAACACTATGTGTTCTTGTGTGTCTTTGTAGAAACAGAGCTATTGACAAGTGATGCAGAAAAAGGGAAAAGATAATGGGAATTATGGAAAAGGTAAAAGTAAAAGTAGTCATTACATGCTGAGCATTGAAGTTGGTCGCCGCATATCCCTTGGAAGATCCTTTCTCCGTCACCTTCTCCACCACAAACTATACATATATTGATACACACACATGAGAACGTGTCTGAGTATGTGTGTTAAACACACAACCAACTCAGAATGCATACGACATGTAGTGTATGAGAAATATAACAATATAAGCGTAAGCAGCACTGCAGCAGCACCACGAGGAATATTCCATTAGTTATTCGATTTGTAGAAATATTTCGCAAAACGAAAAGTGAAAAAGAAAAATTGATCCCACTTCAACTGTATTTTTTTCTGTTTAAGTTGATTATACTAATTACAAAAGCATACTTTATAGTTCAAAAGAGCATATATCATCACTTTGCAATAACTTTTTTTTAGTTTCATTACTTGTGTCACATGCATTTTGTATATATACAACCCTCGTCTTATATCTTTCACAACTTATGATCGCCATCTTTCACCCGGAAGCATGACTAACAATAAGAGCAAAGACGAGCCAAAAACTCACGGAGAAGATCTTCTGGTTAGTCGTTTAGTGATGATTATTATCATTATTTTGTTGACATTTATTCTTCTAATAATTATGATTATTCTTCTGATCTTGTCCTGAGCCAGTTTAAGGGGTCACCGACAGTTACTATAGGCTATAGTAAGAAGCGTTGATGCACATGTTTGGACGAGAAGAGAGATAAGGATTTTGACCAACTTGAAAACGAATGTGTTGGTAAACGGCAACCACAATGGACAATAGTGGAACATCATGTATCTTTCTCTTTGACCGGGCAACTTCGGAACCTTTGGCAATGTTTCTCTTGATTTTTAAGTCTTGTTATTGTTGATCTATCTATTTGTAGTAGCTCTTCTTGTTCTATCGATTGAACGGAAGACATTATCCTCGTTTCGCATTAATTAGTGTATTTTTTTTACGGGCGGAGCAGCACATATATTTTACTCATCAGGCGTAAGAAAAACTTTTAACTCGATCAAACTCAATCTTGACGGAAGGTGAAAGAACAACACAAAAGAACACCAAAGTTCTTTGTTTTAAACATCTACTATAGAGACCTTGATCTGATTGATCATGTTTCTTGTTACATGAACATAATTGAGAGTGGAGAGAGAAAGTTACAAGAAGAAAGAAACTCCCACTTTGCTCTGTTCTGCTTTCTCCGTTTCTTAACGGCTCTGTTAACGAAACAGAAGTAAACTAGGCCTGGGCCCAAATGTAATATGTCACTCCTTCGGTCTTAAACTGGGCCTGGGCACACGTGTTAACAGCAGTGGCCCAAGTGTTAACAGAAGTGAAATGTACTAATTACGATGCGCTGTCGTTTCTCTGAAGCTTTCAAACCGAAAACAGTCATTAAAGTTTTTTGTTTTGATATGGATGTGAATTTATTTCTGGAGAAGAAGTTGTAACTTACACCGTTGTCTTTTATTGGCTAGAACATGTATTCATTGGCCCAAAAATAGAGCAGTGGAATATATTTCTGCAGAAAAAATGTTGCTCGTTTTTTTTTCTTATTTTGGTCACAACATTTTTTCCTGACTATCTTTCTCTCCTTTACACATTATGGGAAAGGAATAAAGGCTTCCGACAAAGCAAAGGAGCATAATGAAATAATTTAATCATAACAATTTTAGTTAAATAAATGGAAATTTATCTCTCTAATCAAGAAAAACTTTTAGACTTTGGCTGAGCAAATGTATTGCTGATAAATGATGCCTACAATATCAAATAATTCTTTTTCTCTATTATTGAAAACTGTAACATCTTCATGTGAATAAGAATTTTGATTTTTCTTATTAACTAAATTGAAACCAAGCACACATGACACACCACACAAATTCCCTTTTTCTTTATTTTATTGTGTGTTAATGAAATTGTAATATTTACATGTGAATGAGATCGTTGATGTTAGCCATACATATGGATAAGAAAAAAACACAGATGTTATTAACACCCAAAGTTGTAGTGTTGTATTGTACAACGTTGCAACAAGAAGCAAAGAATTAAAACCAAGCAAATAAATAAAAAGTAGGAATCTTCCAGCTTCCAAGATTTCTTGATTTATTCACAAGCAATGCTAAAGAATTAAGAATTTAAATCGATAGTTTTGTGACTAATCCTTATACAAAGGCAAAGAATCTAATTGTCCGTGTTAGTATATATATAATGTATCGTCGAACCATATCAATCAATCAAATTAATCTTTGCTCTCTATCCTTTCCAAGCAGTTAACTAGAAGTCCATCAAAATCTTCTCTGAAAATGGTTCCTCCAAACCCAGCCCATCAACCGGCTCGGCGAACTCAACCGCAGTCGCAATCGCAATCGCAACCTCGACCGCAACCCCTTCCGGGCAGGCGTATGAACCCTGTCCTATGCATCATTGTCGCCCTTGTCCTCTTGGGACTCCTTGTGGGTCTCGCTATATTGATCACATACCTCACACTCAGGCCAAAGCGACTCATCTACACGGTAGAAGCCGCGTCGGTCCAAGATTTTGCTATAGGCAACAATGACGATCACATTACCGCAAAATTCAGCTATGTGATCAAATCATACAACCCGGAGAAACATGTCTCCGTAAGATACCACTCCATGCGTATCTCCACTGCTCATCATAACCAGTCTGTGGCTCACAAAAATATCTCTCCTTTCAAGCAACGTCCTAAGAACGAGACTAGGATTGAGACGCAGCTTGTGTCCAAGAATGTGGCACTGTCTAAGTTCAATGCCAGGGACTTGAGGGCTGAAAAATCAAAAGGGACGATCGAAATGGAAGTGTATATAACAGCTAGAGTGAGCTACAAGACGTGGATTTTCCGGTCGAGGAGACGTACTTTGAAGGCTGTGTGTACGCCTGTAATGATCAACGTTACATCAAGCTCGTTGGATGGATTCCAGAGAGTCTTATGCAAAACTCGTCTTTAGTTTGAATTATTATCATCTTGAATTGGTTTCATTTGTGTGCAAAATTTGCTATATGTGCCCTTGATTGATTGTGTGTGTGTTTTTCTTTTCTAAATTTATGCTTCTTGTCCAATCATTTCATTTGTCTTTTTCTTTTCATTATTATTCTATTCTTTTTTTTTGGGTTAAAATGCTTTACATTTTTATTACTCTGTAAGTGTATTAAATTTGTTGAAATATGGATTTTAAAAAAAATAATATTTGACGATTTAATAACTTTATCAAGACTTTTAAAGTTTTAATTATAATGTAAGGATACATGCAAAACTAGTACGTTTCCCGGATATGTCGGGATCTCTAACAAAACTTTGATAGACACAATTTGATGGAGGTTCTTAAATAAGCAGAGAGGTAAAACAAACATATAACTTAGTCGCCAGGTAAACAGACAGTTAACAACAACAACAAAAAAAAAAAAAAATAGGGAGAGATAAAGATTTCAACTATTTTTAGTAGTGTTTCTTCTAATAAGACAATGTAACACCAAGATTTTGTAAATTTTTTCTGGAAACTGTAAATCTCTTTCTCTTGGTTTCTTCTTCTCTCAAGAAGAAAAATTAAGAATCTAGGCATCGGGGTTTGTAAAAAGAAATGGAGGCATATAACGCAACCTTCTGGGCGGATTTCTCATATCATGGATATGCCTATAATGAAGACGGGACCAAGTTCTGCGAACAAATACCCATGCTTGTGAACTCTTTTGGCGTGTGGGAGAAGATAGGTTTACCTGTTCTCGGGATGAAGATATGGGACTACAGTCTTCCCCTTCTCGAGAGCGTAATCGTCCTAGTACTCTGTTTATGGCAGTTTTTCTATTTCTCCCTAAAGAAGATAGGCCTCCCTGTGCCAAAGATCACCTCCATGATGATTGTAAGACCCTTTCTTCCTCTTTTGTTCTTTTGTATCAAAATTGTTTGCTTTTGACTGAGTGATTGGAAAATAATGTTGAAGGCCGGGGCAGCTTTGAGCCAGACGAATCTTTTGCCGAATGACTGGACGATCCAACACATTTTATTCCCGGATGATACTAGGCCAAAAGTCCCTGAGACGCTCGGTGGGTTCGCTTTTGTGTTTTATTGGTTCCTCGAAGGTGTTAAAATGGATGTTGGGATGGTTAAGAAGACTGGTACGAAAGTGATTGTAACAGGAATGGTCACTGTTCTTGTCCCCATTTTCGTGGCTAACATGGTGTTTGGTAAGCTAAGAGAGACCGGGGGGAAATACTTGACAGGAATGGAGTACAGAACAATTTTATTCATGCAGAGCATCTCGGCGTTCACGGGTATCTCAAGGCTATTAAGGGATCTCCGGATCAACCACTCAGAGTTCGGCAGGATCGTGCTTTCCACCGCTATGGTGGCGGATGTTACTGGTTTTGCTGTTAATCTATTTGCCCTTGTGGCGTGGTTGGACTGGAGGGTTTCTGCGATGCAAGGCGTAGGAATTATCGGATATGTCATAGTCATGATTTGGGTTGTGAGACCGGGGATGTTTTGGGTGATCAGACGGACACCACAAGAGAGACCGGTGAAGGAATGCTTCATCTACATCATCCTCATTTTAGCCTTCGGTGGTTACTATTTTTTGAAGGAAATTCACATGTTTCCGGCTGTTGGACCCTTCATTTTGGGTTTGTGTGTGCCTCACGGTCCTCCTCTAGGGTCTCTACTGATAGAAAAGTTTGAAAGCTTTAACACTGGAATCCTTTTGCCACTTTTCTTGTTCTTCTCAATGATGCAAATCGATGGACCTTGGATAGCTAAGGAGATCGGTCAACTATGGCATTTTGAAGGTCAGTTGTATGAAGCCTTGACCATCATCATCGTTGTCTTAGTCGCCAAGATTGTCTTCTCAACGATTCCTGCATTGCTAGCCAAAATGCCTCTAACCGACTCTTTCGTTATGGCACTCATCCTCAGCAACAAAGGAATTGTTGAGCTGTGTTATTTTATGTATGGCGTTGAAAGCAATGTGAGTTCCAATATTTTTTCTTTGTATTCAAGACAATTCATTTCTCCAATATTATTGTGTTTTTTTTTTTTTTTCTTGTTTTATAAGATTAATTTGGTGTGTTAATATACAGGCTCTTCATGTGAAGTCCTTCTCGATAATGGCATTGATGATTTTAGTGAGCTCTACGATATCACCAGTGTTGATACATTACCTATATGATTCGTCAAAACGATTCATTAGTTTCCAGAAGCGGAATCTAATGAGCTTGAAGCTTGGCTCAGAGCTGAAGTTTCTAGTGTGCATTCACAAAGCAGACCACATCTCAGGGATGATCAACCTTCTAGGACAGTCTTTTCCTCTACATGAATCCACAATCACTTGCTACGTGCTTCACCTCGTTGAGCTTGTGGGTTTGGACAATCCAGTCTTCATCTCCCACCAAATGCAAAAGGCCGAGCCCGGAAACCGGTCTTATTCAAACAACGTCCTAATCGCTTTTGATAACTTCAAACATTACTGGAAATCGATATCGCTGGAATTGTTCACATCCATATCAAACCCTAAGTACATGCACCAAGAGATTTACGCGCTCGCTCTCGACAAACAAGCTTCTTTCATCATGCTCCCTTTCCACATAATATGGTCCCTTGACCAGACAACGGTGGTCTCAGACGATGTCATGCGTAGGAACGCTAACTTGAATGTCTTGAGACAAGCACCTTGTTCCGTGGGGATATTTGTCCATCGCCAAAACCTTTTCTCTGCGCAAAAGAGCAATCCGTCGTATCAGGTAACACATATATTGAAGTTTTGATTGTTTCATACGCTAATCTTTAGTTTCCGTGCTTGAATTTGTGTTCACATGTGAAACTTAATTTTTCTTTTTTTTTATAATAGGAAAATTGTCCAAAATATCACTTTAATTTTTTTTTTTGCGTTTTTGTCATTTTAAGTTTGCAGGGGTTTTTTTTTTTCATGCATGTGAAAGCATTTTTTTTTTATCTTTGACAAAAGACCAATAAAAAGCTTTAAAAGTAACATTTCTGCAAAAAAGTTTTGTGAAAAATCACATTTCAATAATTTAGAAAAATGCAAAAAAAAAAAAAGGGTTGTTCCCTATGTTTGTATTTGGATGACACTAAAGTCGCTGGCTAAAGGTCATGGGAATATTTGATAAAAAATTTTAAATATACAAGCTGCTAACAGGTATGCTCACTTTGTTGGTAAAAACTTGGCATCTTCTCAATCATGTTGAATTTGTCTGAAACCAGGTCTGCGCAATTTTTGTGGGCGGGAAAGACGACAGAGAAGCCTTGGCACTGGGGAGGCAAATGATGAGGAATCCGAATGTGAACCTAACAGTGTTGAAGCTAGTCCCAGCGAAAATGGATGGGATGACCACAGGGTGGGATCAGATGTTGGACTCGGCAGAGGTTAAGGAGGTTCTGAGGAACAATAACAATACTGCTGGACAACATAGTTTTGTGGAATACGTAGAGGAGACAGTTAACGACGGTTCCGACACATCAACATTACTTCTCTCGATTGCTAATTCTTTTGATTTATTCGTGGTGGGGAGGAGCGCCGGAGTAGGGACAGACGTGGTGAGTGCACTGAGTGAGTGGACGGAGTTTGATGAGTTAGGTGTGATTGGAGATTTGTTGGTGTCTTCAGATTTCCCCCGTAGAGGTTCGGTGTTGGTGGTGCAACAACAACAGAATGTAGCTTGTAGATGATATTACGTACATTGGCGTCTACTCTTTATTCATTTATAAGATATCAAATATAGAAATACACTTGTCACACGAGACACATTTGTAGCTCCAAAATTTATAAGTGACAGTTTGTCTCCGTGGCCTTGTGATGATAACAACTTACAAAATGACCGTTCCGAGATCCGACTTGCACAGAGAAGATCTGATTAAAATTTTCAAATATAACTTGTTAGACTTTTCATTCCACATGATTTTTTAAAAAACGAGAAAATCAGAAAACAATAGTAAAAGATTTATAATGATTAACATTTTGGAGTTTACAAGTTTTTTCTTTTTTTCGCTATACAATAAAGAAAACGGCAAATTTGAGCAAAAAAGTAAACAAATCACATAGCAAATCAGTGCAGTCTTAAAAGACCTGTACTTGGCACCCACTTGATCATTAAAAAAATTATGAGAATTTCACGCACTTAATATATTCAATGAAATTCCCCAATTAAAACCTTTACAGGAATCTATTACCAACCAATAGGAGCTAGTTGAGTTCAAAATGGTTTGCAGGTGATTTACCCTGGTTCTAATTTTTTTTGTAGTCTGAAGACCACAATTACGACTAGTAAATCTACTGCCTAATTAATTACTTGGAAGAAACTTAATCATGTGATTATGATTTACATTGAGTTGAAGCATTGAAGCTCTATATAATTTTAAATTTGGAGAATTTGACTATGAGAGTAATTTGGTATTAAGACCATCTTTATCGGTACATCTGTACCTATGATCTTATGAATAAAAAAATAGAAATTAATGAAAAATGGGTCAAGAGCATATAGAACAGGTCTCGGACAAGATCTGTTCTTTCGGAGGTCTTGCGCCAGGTGGCGAAAGGTAAGTGGGTAACAATTTTTTAAAAAACCAAAAATATTTTCATATCTCACTCTCTCTCCACCTATCATCATATTCTCTCTATCTTTCTCTCTCTCTTACCTATAATACTATTATAATTATCATAAGATCTATCTTTAAAGATATACCCATAAATATGCCCTATATCTTGATCTAGATACAGAATTCTTTAGTTACAGGGTTACTTATTTTCTAGTCTCTTTTAGTATTTATTTTTCTTTGCTATATTATTTGGTTTAATTTGAATGCTTAGTTTATGTGGTTTAATTTGCATGCTTACTTGTTTGGAATTACTTAATTTGTATAATTATCTATAAGTTCCTGAGAAAGTGTGCTAGTGGGTGCAAAATTCCCTAAATATATATTGTTAAATGTAGATTCGAGGTTGTTGATTGGTTGTAATAGACGATGTACAGTCATACGTGTGCTAATGTTGACAAGGAACAAGAGATGGAGAACAATATAGCTATAAAAAGAAAAGAAAAACAAAACAAAGTGGTTAAATATTAACTGTATCTGAGATGCATATCTGTTGTTTGCTGGTTATTCGACCTTAGTCAAAGTTTATAACAAACCCTTCCTAGTCTTTCTTCCTTCCCAATCGAACTACAAACCCTAAATCATTCCATTAGATTTTCTTGATCCCTAAGCAATTCTCTTCGTTAACTTTTGACTTTCTCCTTAAAATGGATACAGAGCAGATGGACATGAGTTATTGGGACATGACATGGCGAGAATACAATGAAGACAACAAAACGTCTCGCTTCTGCGAGTCACACCCTTACATAGTAAATTCGCACGGGATATGGGAAGTTTTGAGTTACAAGAGAGGGATGAAATTCTGGGAATATCCGCTCCCGAATCTTGAGATCTTAATCTTTTCTACTTTTTTTATATGGCGGCTTCTCGACATCTCATTCAACAGAATTGGTCTTCGAGTACCTAGATTCACCTATATGATGATCGTGAGTTTTCTTAACCTCCATCTTCCCTCCACGTTTTAAATTTTAAAATCAGTAGGGTGCATATTTCTAAATGTTGTAATGTCTTGTTGTTAAAGGCAGGGATAATCTTAGGTCAAACTTGTCATGTAAGCAACAAGTCTTGGCTCCATAACATTTTTTTCCCTGATGATAACCGACCAAAGGTCGCCGAGACGCTAGGGGCTTTTGGCTTCGTTTTATATTGGTTCCTCAAAGGTGTGACTATGGATGCCGAATTGCCATTTAAGACGGAGAAAAGGTCTAGTGTGATCGGATTCATTACAGTATTTATACCCTTGATTTGTGGCAGCCTCACTTTTAGATGGAGAGAACGAAGAGGGAACATAAGCTTGTTAAGGACGGAATACAGGTTGATCATATTCTTGCAAAGCATATCCGCGTTCACGAGCATTGACACACTCTTAAAAGACCTCCAGATCAAACACTCAGAGTTTGGGAGGATAGCCCTCTCTGGGGCTATGGTGACTGACATGTTGGCTTTTGTTGTAACATTTTTCAATGCAATCTACTGGGAAGGATTGTACGGCTTTATGCAAACCTTAGGTTTCTGCTTCTTTGTCGTTGTTATGATCTTCGCTGTGAGGCCGGCTATGTATTGGGTGATCAAGCAGACTCCAGAAGGGAGGCCGGTCAAGGACTTTTACCTCTACTCGATTTTTGGGCTTGCTTTTGCGTCCTTCAAGTTTTTTGACAAGGCTATTCATCTTTTTGGACCCGCGGGATCATTTGTTTTTGGCTTGACTGTTCCGAATGGATATCCTTTAGGTGCTACTTTGGTTCAAAAGTTTGAGAGCTTTAATCTTGGAGCTATTTTGCCACTCTTTGGATCCTTAACCATGATGCAAGTAGATCTCTTAGGGTTGGTCAAAGAGAGTGGAGATTTCATACGGATGGAGGGTCAATTCTATGAGGTCATTTCCTTTATTCTTTTGGTGAATACCGTAAAATTCGTTGTGACCACCATAGCAGCGTATGCTTTTAAAATGCCCTTGAGAGACTCTTTTGCTTTAGCCCTTGTGCTTAGTAATAAGGGGATCTTCGAGCTCGCCTACTACACGTACGCGGTTGAAATAAAGGTGCGTACAGTTAACTCTCTATATATATTTAAAAGAAGACTAATTACTTAATTAGTTTATTGTCATAAAACTTATTAAATCTTTGGACATGTTAATTTCACAGCTAATAAGGCCAGAGGTTTTCACAATCCTAGCTGCATACTCCCTCTTGAACTCTATCTTTATACCAATGCTCTTGGAGCTCGTGCATGACCCAACCAAAAGATTCAAATGCTACCGAAAAAGGAATTTGGGCATCTTGAAAGAGGGTGCGGCTCTCCAATGTCTTACGTGCGTCTACAAACCTGATCACATAACTTCCATGATCGACCTTTTGGAAACATTTAGCCCATCACAAGATTCCCCAATGGCGTGTAACATACTTCACCTCGTCGAACTTGTGGGTCAAGCCAATCCTATGTTCATTTCCCACCAGTTGCAACAACCAGAGCCCGGAAGTACTTCTCTTTCCGACAATGTCATAATCTCCTTCCGTCGCTTCCAAAGACAATTCTTTGAATTTACATCGTTGGATATTTTTACTTCCGTCTCCTTGTCCCAACACATGCATGAGGACATTTGTTGGCTAGCCCTATCCAGAAGCCTATCTCTGATTGTGCTTCCTTTCCACCGAACCTGGTCCGTTGATCGATCCACGATTATCTCCAACGATGATAAGCTGAGAATGCTCAACCTTAACGTCCTGAGACGTGCCCCATGCTCTGTTGCAATCTTCATCTATCGCAAGCCCATCGTCGAATCTCATATGATTAATTCCCACAGCAAGGTAGTGATCATAACCGAATATTTAACACTTTTCATTTTCTTTTTTATTTCAAACACCAATTAATCCGTTTGAATATGTGAAAAATATAAGTTTCAGAATTTTATAAAATTTCAGAAAATATTTTAGCAACGTCTAAATGAAATTAAATGCTGAAAGAAAATGGAAAATGATCTTTTCATTTGTGTTTGTAGTATATAACTTAATAAAACTTCCATCTCTGCAGATATGTTTGATTTTTAACGGTGGAAAAGACGATACAGAAGCTTTGGCGATAACAAACCGAATGAGACTGACAGACAAGCGAACAAGGCTAACGATCATAAGATTCATTCCAAAATCTTCTGAAATGGATAACCATGAGTGGGAACAGCAGCAATCGATTAACCTAAAGGAGTCCGTGACTAACCTCATTGGGTCCAACATCAAACAAAATGATGAGAAGGTGACATATATCGATAAGGCGGTTTCTGATGGATCTGAGACCTCAAGAATCTTACGAGCAATGGCAAATGATTATGACTTGTTTATCGTTGGAAGAGACAGCGGAATAGGTACTGAGGCTACTAGCGGAATTAGTGAATGGACAGAGTTCGATGAATTGGGACCCATTGGAGATTTATTAGCATCACATGAATATCCTTCGAGTGCATCAGTGTTGGTTGTACAAAAACAAGTGTACATTCATCATACAAAAAGCCAAAAAAGAATATCTTTCTAAGAAATAATGTGAGATATGTTCAATGCTCAGCTGTTCAATGTTGTATTTCTCTACATCAAAAAGATTAGTTTAGGCTGCGTGAAGTTATGGAGTAAAATGATTCGAGTTTCTTCTGAATATGATGATAAACTTCATGATTTTGATCGAATATTGAGTGAACAAAATTAGAGTAGTACTTTCCTATGGCGAGCCTGCTACATGATCACCTTCCAATTATAGCTGCCTTTGTTATCACAATTCAAAAATATACTTCCTTTGCTTTACACATATTGTCATTTTAGAGTTTTATTATTTTTGTTTTACAAATAGTGTCATTCTACATTTTCAATGTGATTTTTATACTAAATTTCCTGATTTACCCTTAATCTAAAGCTACTTTTCATTAATTTACACCATTAATTACTTAATAAATTAATTACTTTTCAAAGAGTATAATACAATGTTTTCTAAATTTGTGGGAAATGTGTCAAAATGACACTCTTTTTGAAATAGAGGAAGTATTCTCTTACAATAAATGCATCTTTGATTTGAGAGTTTTTAATTCTTAGATAGAAGAATGTAAAAAAAAAAACAAAAAAGGCAACTAAAGCAATAAAGTATATGTATATATTCTCTTTTAGTATTAACATGGTTTGTTTTTTAGAAAACATGGTTATATAACACACGTACGTTATATTAAGTTTAGGTAGTAGGCATTACAGTTTGATTTTGAGTTGCTAATTAATGGATCCTCTTTATTAAGAATGGCTAAGTGTTTATTTAGAGTGCCTAAACTGGTCATTTAATTTTAAAGCAATACAGCTTACAAACGCCAAAAACAAAGATAACACCTGGTTCAGACAATCCCTATATTTATACCTTATGCTAACTTTAGAGATATTGGGATCTGTGTGAAACCATTTGACCGGTTTTAATTTTAGTTCTTCCTTTGACTGCAAAACCTTTTCATTGTCAAGATTTTTTTGTTGTTTTTGGTTTTACGTAGACAAGATTTATCCCAAATGGATGCAGAAAATGCGACTTGGCGCAAAGAGCTCATGTGGGACGACGATGGGAAAAGAGCAGAGATGGGGACGAAGATGTTTTGCGATGTAAGTCCACATATATTGTTGAACTCACATGGCGTTTCAGAGAAAATGGATTCCGGATCTAAGGGGATGGAATTCTGGGAGTACCCTCTTCCACAATTGGAGATCATAATTCTCTCCATATTCCTATTATGGCGCTTATTTGATATGTTGTTCAAGAAGTTAGGTGTTCCTATCCCCAAGTTCACCTCCATGATGCTTGTACGTAATTACGGGTTTCAAATATCAACATTTCCTTGGCGATGTTCGTATAATATAACACAATTTATCTCTTGTTCTTGAAGGTTGGGGCAGTCTTAAATGAGGTGTTTGGATCGATGCAAATATCATGTTTTAAGCATATATTTATCCATGATAACAAGTATATGCCAAAGGTTGCTGATACTATAGGTGCATTTGCTTTTTTCCTAGATTGGTTCCTAAGAGGAGTGACTACGGATGTTGGAATAATCAAAAAGTCAGGAACTAAGAGTGTTGTAATTGGAATCACCTCAATGATCATTCCATGGCAAATAGGAAAACTCCTTTATTCATCTAGAGAGAAATCAAGTATCCTGACCATGACAGAAAACGAGTATAACGTAATGACATTCACCATGAGCATGACGCCTTTCACGTGCGTCAACATGTTGCTTACTGACCTCAAGATAGTTCACACTGATTTCGGCCAAATAGCTCAGTCATCGGGAATGGTAACCGATGTGCTTGCCTTTTTCTTGACTGTATGGGCTTACATTAGCCGTGATGAAACTCAAGGAGTGAAGATGGGATTTGCTTTTATGGCATTCTTCATTTTTGTGTACCTTGTGCGACAATTTATGCTCTGGGTAATCAGACATACCCCAGAGGGAGCGCCAGTGAAGAACATCTATCTCTACATTGGTCTCTTGCTGGCTTACTTATCTTATCTTTACTGGAACCGCTTCTTATTCTTCGGACCGCTGGGGGCATTTGTTCTTGGTTTGGCTGTCCCTAACGGACCGCCTTTAGGATCGGTATTTATACAAAAATTCGATAGCTTCAATGAGGGCATTTTTTTACCCCTCTTTGGCTCACTTAGCATGATTAAACTAGATTGGTCATTTCTACGGAAGGAGTTTGGAGATGAGTTTGGAGATGGAAAACATCTCCATGGACATATGTACGAGTGTTTTTCATTCCTTCCCATCGTATACATAGCGAAATTCGGTACTTCGTTTTTAGCCGCCATAGCTACAAAGATACCTTTGAGAGACTCAATTATCCTAGCTGTCATTATGGGCACCAAGAGTAGTTTCGAGTTGGCTTACGTACTTACAGCCTTCGAAAAATACGTAAGAACATTTTTGCTATAGTCATATAACTTAATTTGTATATCTTTGTTATAATGTTTTTCATTCTTTAACAGAGGATTAGTCTGGAGGTTTTGTCTCTCCTGGGCGTATACATTCTCGTAAACTCTTTGTTAACACCAATGGCTATACATTTCTTGTATGACCGGTCTAAAAGATTTGTGTGTTACGGAAGAAGAAACTTGAAACAGAAGTCAGAACTGCAAACGCTGGTGTGCATCAACAAGCCTGACAACATAACATCGATGATTAGCCTTCTCAGAGCAACTTCCCCATCTAAAGACTCTCCAATGGAGTGTTGTGTTCTTCACCTAATAGAGTTACAAGGTCAAGCTACTCCCACGTTTATCTCCCACCAGCTTCAGAAACCAAAGCCTGGAAGTCGGTCTTACTCCGAAAATGTCATAAGCTCTTTCCAACTGTTTCAAGAGATTTATTGGGACTCCGCTTCCATAAACATGTTCACGTCTTTAACTTCCGCTAAAGAGATGCATGAACACATATGTTGGTTTGCTCTTAGTCAAGGTTCAAATCTTATTCTCCTCTCGTTTCACCGCACTTGGGGGCCTGACGGAAGTGTCGTTATCTCAGACGATCAAACCCTAAGAACCCTTAATCGTAATGTTCTGAAACGAGCCCCTTGTTCTGTCGGAATCTTTGTTTATCGCAAACCAATTTGGCAAACCAAAGCCCTAGAATCTCCATGCCGTGTAAGTAACTCTACATTTTTTTTTAATAACCAAAAAGTTTCAGATTATATTTGTTCATTCTAAATGTTGAATATTATTGATTGTCACATATTGAATGCAGGTGTGCTTGATTTATGTGGGTGGGAATGACGACAAAGAGGCCTTGGCATTAGCTGACCACATGAGAGGTAACCAACAAGTGATTCTAACGGTGATGCGTTTGATCCCTGCGTCTCATGCCGATGATATTAGCAAGAGGATTCATAGTCAAATGGTAGACATGAACCGTCATGAAGAGAGGCCTCGAGATGACTCAATCATCATTGATTGGACGGTGGGGGATGGTACAGAGACTTCCAAGATTTTGCACTCCGTGGCTTACGACTATGATCTATTTATAGTCGGTAGAGGAAGTGGGTTTGGTACTACAGTCACAAGAGGACTCGGGGATTGGATGGAATTCGAAGAACTTGGAATCATTGGAGATTTGTTAGCATCTGAATATTTTCCTTCTAGAGCCTCCGTGTTGATCGTGCAACAACAAGAATGAAAAGCATTTCTCAACTTTAGTTTTTATCTTGTTTAAAGTTGAGGAACTCTGTAAACAGACCCCACGCGCCCAATTTTTTAAATTTTACGAAAACAGCAATTTCTGCATGTTTTGGTCCAGGGATTTTGGAGAGGTGACGTCGACGCGCTCGTTGTGAGAGTGGGTAAGATACTTGAATTTCGCAGTTCGACAACCAACCACGCGCGCCACGTTTGGGCTGACTTTATACTGTCCATTATAGACCCACATAAGTTTAAAAGGCCCAATAACAAAAATTAAAAATTAGGGCACAATGTATGAATATCCATTAGTGATAGCATTTGATGTAATTTATCATTCGTAGTTCGTACACGAAGTTTTAAAATGTTATATATATATATTTTTTTTTTGGTAAAAGGTTAAATTTTATACCATTTTTGATTTTTGACAGAATTACAGGGATTACAAGAATCGGATTAAAGCAATCTACAGAAAATAAATACAATATTACTACTCAAATTGCTTCGGATCGCTTCTAGACGTTCAAGGCTAAATTACGAGATGAAACACCGATTCCGAGCCCGCGAAGCTCGGAAATTTGCGTGGTTGCCACAGAACCGAAGAACTGGAATTCTCATCGTAGTTGCCACGAGTAAATCTATCTGAGGCCCGTCCTCAAAACCTCGAGATAGAAACCTACAGCTTCTCCGAGAACTAACGCAAAAACGCTTAGACAATCATGGACTTCTACACTAACTCAATGAGAAAGCGACGCCACTTAGACCTATTCGCCGCCTCTATTCAAAACTCGTCTAACCTAGCCAATGCACCCAAAAGCTCACCTACACAATAAGAACCAATACCGACAACACCAAGAACAACAAAACTCCACCTTAAAGCAACCGAAGACGAGGCGAAGGGACGAAGAAAAATGGTCACGGGAAAGCCATAACCATGGCTGAGGAAGCTGCCACCCTCTACAGCCCACCAATGGAGGAGAGATGTTGACCACCAACAACAACCACAACACCTCTAACCGCAACGAACAAATCAGAGAACCAAAAAAGATCCCGTGACTTGCCTCCACGAGAGAAACCCGCCGGAATCCTAACACACCAACACCGGAGCTGGAGAAAACTAAGGTGGAGAGACCCGAGAAGAGAAGATTCGTCACACCAAAAGCTCCATGAAGTGCCCAAATTACAAGAGAAACGACAACGTCTAAAGCAACACGGTGATGCACCACCGGTTTCTCAGATCTGGAAGTTTGTCCCGCCGTTAGGAGCCGCACTGCTGCTACAGTCGCCGCATCGAAGCCACAACCTAGAACAGAGAGAGACACACCACACGTCCTTTGCACCGTGCGTGGCCACTCGCTGCTCTACCACCAACAAGAGACGAAGAGCAAGCCGTATAATCCGGGCACCACTGGAGCTGCAAGGCGAGGAGGAGGAGAGAACAGAGAAAAAGGGAGAAGAGAGAGAAGCCCTCTCCGGCCACCGGTAAAGACCACCGTGACCGGAGAGGCTGAGAACAGATCTGACTTTTAGAAGGAAAAGTTTTCTGGCGGCTAAACCTAAAATCGCCTCGCAAAGGCTCTTAAAAAAATGTTATATTTGCAGAAACCTTTGAAATAATCATCACAATTTGTCCAAATTTGAAGTTGTAAAAATAAAATTTTTTGATCATTCGGATCTATTAAAGATTTGGACTAAACCCTAATTACAGGTAAGAACCCTGGATAAAATCGTGGTCTTTCGGCAAATCCGAACCATCAGTGTCCTTAAGATATAGTAGCCCGCTTCTTCAGCTGGTCCTAATTTGGCCCAACATTAAGGAGAGAGTGGCGGGTGAAAATTCTGCCGCCAATATTATCACCTATCTTCAAGGTTGCAACACTTGTCCTTCCCTAAAACCCTAATTTCAAAATCGACTGATGTTAGCGATTCGATCGTCGAATTACCTCCGATGCTTACCTTCTCTCTGTACTAAAACCCAAATTTCTCAATTCTCCTCCGTGTTACTGTCTTTTAGCCGCCAAGTTTCCCACTTGCGCCTTAGCTCGTGCCATAGAGCCATGTCTTCTTCCCGCCCTTCTGCATTTGACGCTCTCATGTCCAATGCTCGCGCAGCCGCCAAGAAGAAGACGCCCCAGACCTCTACTCCGTCTCGCTCGCCGAATAAAAGGAAAATTGAGGAAATCCAAGATGCTAATTTGGTCAAAACTCTTGTTTCCGAAGGTACACTTCCAAAACCGGAGGATCCTATTTCTGATTCTGCAAAACCCAGATCGGATACGTCGTCAATTGCGGAAGATTCGAAGACCGGAACGAAAAAGGCTAGGACTTTGAGCAAGACGGATAAAATTGACGAAATGAAGAGCACAATTGGATTGTTGAAGAAGAAGCCTAATGATTTCGATCCTGAAAAAGTGTCTTGCTGGGAGAAAGGGGAGAGAGTTCCGTTTCTGTTTCTCGCATTGGCTTTTGATCTGATTTCAAATGAAAGTGGCCGGATTGTGATTACTGATATTTTGTGTAACATGTTGAGAACCGTTATTGCCACTACTCCTGAGGATTTGGTCGCTACTGTTTATCTTGCGGCAAATGAGATTGCCCCTGCTCATGAAGGTGTAGAATTGGGAATTGGTGAGGGTACAATTATCAAGGCTATCTCTGAAGCTTTTGGTAGAACTGAGGATCATGTTAAGAAGCAGAATACGGTATGTTGACTTTTTTTAATTTTGTTACCTTATATTTCAATGAGCTTGTCGAGTGTGGAATGTGGTTGCTATAAGGTTTTTGAATGAGAAACTTAGTAGCAGTTCTGAAATTGAACTCGATTTATAGGAACTGGGAGATTTAGGGCTTGTTGCAAAAGGAAGCCGGTCGACTCAGACTATGATGTTCAAGCCCGAACCATTGACTGTTGTCAAGGTCTTTGATACGTTTCGACAAATTGCTAAGGTATTTTAAACCTTCTGGCTTTTGAATGCTTGAGATTTTGGTTATGCTTTTAATTGAGATTCACTCAACCTTCTTTTTGTCTGACTGCATATAAGATGAGTGGGACTATTGCATGTTAACTATTGCAGGAAAGTGGAAAAGATAGCAATGAAAAGAAGAAGAATCGAATGAAGGCACTTCTTGTGGCAACAACAGACTGTGAACCTCTTTACTTAACACGTCTACTTCAGGTATGCATCAATGCCACATTTTTTTTCTGCTCATTCGTTTGGGTTCCTTATTCCGCCCTTCTTAATTTACCTTGCAGGCAAAATTGCGGTTAGGGTTCTCAGGTCAGACTGTCTTAGCCGCCTTGGGACAAGCCGCTGTGTATAATGAAGAGCACTCAAAGCCACCCCCAAATACCAAGTCTCCCTTAGAAGAGGTATGCTTTCTCTTTTAGTTTTTGTAGTTCCCACTTTTATATCAGAATCCTTCTTTCCGAGTTCTGTGAGAAAAAATATATTTTCTGAGCTACTATAAGGATGTTGTGTGGCTGTAGGGTCTCTATGTAGTATTCTTTAAGAGACGTCACAATTTACCTCCTATCCATTTCTGTAATTGTACGTCATTCACTTCTTTCCTGGATCCATCCTTCTTCTCTGTCGTTGTAGGCTGCGAAGATTGTTAAACAAGTATTCACGGTACTTCCTGTCTATGACATTATTGTTCCTGCTCTTCTAACTGGTGGTGTGTGGAATCTTCCAAAAACTTGTAACTTTACATTGGGTGTTCCAATTGGACCCATGCTTGCAAAACCAACCAAAGGTGTAGCAGAGATACTGAATAAATTCCAGGACATCGTTTTCACATGCGAATACAAATATGATGGGGAACGTGCACAGGTTATATATTGGTGTCTACTGAATTAGGATGAATGCTATTCCTAGATCTGAGTTATTTAAATATGGTTTGGCTTATCATCAATCAATTTCTGCAGATACATTTTATGGAAGATGGTACATTTGAGATATACAGTCGAAATGCTGAAAGAAACACTGGGAAGTACCCGGATGTTGCTCTTGCATTATCAAGGTAAACTTCTGGTATAACTGGTTGAAAATGAAAACTTAGAGAACCAATCTTTCTACTAAAGTTAGTGAATCATCTCTATGCAGATTAAAGAAGCCCTCTGTGAAATCTTTTATTCTGGATTGTGAGGTTGTTGCTTTCGACAGGGAGAAAAAGAAAATTCTTCCGTTCCAGGTAACTCATAAGTGAATAGCGAGGTTCTGATATTCAAGTATGGTTGGTTGCAGCCTTATATTCTGTCTATTCATTTAAGACATTTTATTTTATAGAAAGGCCACAGAAATGTTAATGTTTGTAGTTTCCATCTTATTAGCCAGTGAATTAACAAAATAAGAATAGCAATAATGCTCTTTTAGACCAGTTTTTTCAGTTTTGACACTCTCTAACCAATACTTTTGCCAACATTACTGAACAAACCTTGTTACACTTATGGATATTTAATAGCAATTTTCGCAGATAGTTTTGGTGATTCACCGAATTTCTGCTTATGATCATACTTAAGTTTAGTGTTAATGTGAAGAGGATAGTTGAAATATATTAATTGGTATGAAAGTCTTGTTAACCTGGATTAATTTACATTACTTGAAGCTAGCTACTTTATCAATTTGACTTGATGTCTAGTTTTTTTTTTCTTCTTCTTTTCTTTCAGATTTTGAGCACTCGAGCCCGTAAAAATGTGAATGTCAATGATATCAAGGTTGGCGTATGCATCTTTGCTTTTGACATGTTATATCTAAATGGCCAACAACTTATCCAAGAGAATCTTAATATTCGCCGAGAGGTGAGCAATATCAGTAAATCATACTTTGTTTTTCTTTGGTTTCAGTCAAGTAATTGTTGTGCAAATATGTAATCATTTGTGTTCACATTGCTTCTAGCAGAAGCTATACGAATCATTTGAAGAAGATCCGGGGTATTTCCAGTTTGCAACTGCTCTAACATCTAGCGATATCGATGAAATACAAAAGTTTCTTGACGCTTCTGTTGATGTTGGGTATATATCTTGACACTTATCTGTATCTCTATCAAGTGCAGTAAACGTTGGTATAAATTGTTGCATAGCATTTTCTCTTTAGTAGCATATTAGAGATTTTGGTAGATATTTACTGCTTTCGGGTATTTTTATTATAGAGATTATTATCTTTTACATGTTCAAGGGTATGAAATTGAGCAATTTGACCATACTCGTAGTATTGTTGTCTAGCATCTTCTCTTTAGTGGCATCTTTCACCTTCATCTGCGTTCACGTTAAATTAGAGATTCTGGTAGATATTTCACTCATTTGGGGTATTCTATTTTAAATAGTTGTCCACTTATCTGATATCTGTTTAAGGATATGCTAAATTAACCATGCATGTAGTGATATGATATGACATTGACCTCTACTTCATTATCCCTATGTGTCTTCTGGATGAATATAACATTTTTAGCAATTTGACCCATGCTTGTTGTGATTTCTTTACACTCCTATGTCTATTACATCATATATTCCAGTTCATCTATATATTTTCTTTTGCAGCTGTGAAGGTTTAATCATTAAAACATTGAACTCGGATGCTACATATGAGCCTGCCAAGCGATCGAATAATTGGCTAAAACTGAAGAAAGACTATATGGACAGGCAATACTCTCTTAAACATTTTTCTTAAAATATTTTAAACGAACAGTTTTTTCCTGACTCTAGGGTTACATATGCAGCATTGGGGACTCAATGGATCTTGTACCAATTGCTGCTTTCCATGGACGTGGCAAACGCACAGGTGAAAGCCATTAAAATATATTGGATGGATACATTCTTCAACAACCTTTATGCTCTTAACAAAGCTATTTGATTTCCTTCTAGGTGTCTATGGTGCATTTTTACTCGCTTGCTATGATGTTGATAAGGAAGAGTTTCAGAGCATTTGTAAAATCGGTCAGTCCAGTACATAAATTCACCTTGGCATTTCATATTTTGTATGTGCTGTGTTCAGTTTCTCAAGTTTCTTATACCTTGGTTTAACGGTTTGGGCTACTAGGTACTGGATTTTCTGATGCCATGCTTGACGAACGGTCATCCAGTCTTCGCTCTCAAGTGATTGCTACTCCAAAAGTAGGATATTCCCTTCTTCTCTATGGCCTCCTTTTCCTGCAATATCATATATGTCGCTAGCCTGAATTCTTGTTAATTTTAATGATTTAAATATCTAGCAATACTACCGAGTTGGAGACAGCCTCAATCCAGATGTTTGGTTTGAGCCCACTGAGGTAGGATTATGTTTGCTTGTACTCAAAATGTTCTTATAGTTCATTGTTTCGACATTCTATCGTATGGGTTAAAATGAAAGTTAAATAATAATTTGCTTGCTTAAAGGTCTGGGAAGTGAAAGCAGCTGACTTGACAATTAGTCCTGTGCACCGTGCAGCTACCGGCATTGTGGATCCTGATAAGGTTTTGACATTCTCTGACTTGTTTTCTGCTTTTTCCTTTTTGGTTTAAATATATCTGCTGAAATATTATTTCTTATAAATCGTTGAGCTATTTGATTTATTTTTGAGCTGACTGGGAAATTGTTACCTGTTGACTTTCAATTTTGTTTCGTTAAAAGGGAATTTCTCTTCGTTTTCCTCGTCTACTTCGTGTACGGGAAGACAAGAAGCCAGAGGATGCAACATCATCTGAGCAGGTGAAGCTTCCATCCTAAATACACTCATTATGTTTTCAATACTGGAAAGACAAGAGCAGGCTGGTTTTGAAATTCTTTCATCTTTTCTAATTTTCAATTTCCCTGCACATTTTCAGATTGCTGAGATGTACCAAGCTCAGAAACACAATCATCCAAGTAATGAAGTCAAAGGTGACGATGATTGAACAACTGTAATCTGGTCTCAGAGCATATTTCCTCGTATGTGCGACATTGCTCCTAACTTGCTAATGATGCACATTGCGTGTTTGAGTTTTCAACTGTATCTGATGGTGTGAAACTGTGTTTAGGAAAAGTTAATGAGAGGTTCTGGAAAAAAAAATCCCTACACTCATCACAACTAAGTCTGGAATGAATAAAAACTGCCCTGGTTAATATCACTGAGCTGTCTATGATTGGCAGAAATGTGGAATATGTTTACGTAGAAATAGGATACTTGATAGTTGATACAGATAACTATATCATTGGCTTCGGAATTTAATAATTGTCAGCGGAAGACGAGCCTCTGGTTTGTAGTCTCTCTTGGAAAAATAGACTCATTCCAGTGAATCGATTCTCTTCCTACATCCTGCTGGTGCAGTATCTGTGAAGACAGGCAGAATTTGAAAGGACTTGAGCTGAGGACTGGTGCTGCTACTGTGGAAGCGGCCCTGCCTTCAACAGAGCGGCCTTGAACACGGCTGCCCTCTGAGGAAACGCCAGTTCAATGATGCTTGAAATCCTCCTTGGCTGGTGTTGAAAGATCAAATCTGCGGTACCTCTTATCAGTCTCTTCAATGGCTTAATTCAGGAGATAACTCAGCTGACTTTTCTGGTTATAGCTCGAGAAGGTTATCTCTTCCTCGATTGTCTACCATTCAGCAAAGAGACAGAATCATGTAACGATAAAAAAATCATAATGTCACTAAAATGTAAAAATGGATAAATATATATTAGGTGGGTCTAAACATTAAGATTTTAAGATCAATAAAGGGTAATAGGTCCACAAATTACACATTAATTGGATTTGGGCCAAAAGCGCGATACCTTAACAGGCTTAAACCTCTTGGTGACGCAGAGGTTTTTGTCTGAACTGAAACTGAAACGCCTTTACGAAAAATCTCCCTGAAACGATAAATCGCCATCGTTTGTGTTTCGATCGGGGGAAGAACAAATGGATCCCGACAGGTATTCCACTTTATCTATCCACTTACTTGGTTTCTGATTGATTATCATACATAAGGCAATTTTTTTAGTTATAAGCTTTGCGCAAACAAATATGAAAATGGTCTTTCGTTACGGAACACGATTATATTAGCTTATAGAAGCTTTACCTTCTTGGGTGGTTGTTATCTTGAAAAATTATTGTCAAGTCTCTGTCTTTCGTTAGTAGGCTAATCGAGATCTTTGCTGTTTCTGGTAGAATCTTTACCAGTGAGATTCCCACCCTTGTAGATTCATTTGAGCATTAAGTTTACATTTTTCTCTAATGTTTGAGCCAAAGTTTTGGTTCTCCAATTGAGTAGTTGAGATTAAATTTGACACTTTTGCTGTCTTTTAAGGTTGAATTCTCCAAGTACATGTACTGTTACCATTGAGGTTTTGGGGCACGAATTAAAATTTGCTCAGGTATGTTTGACTCTTATTTCCCTTGAATTCTTACATTCAAACTTAATTCCTATAGTTGTATGCTCACCTTTTCAATGTCTTAGACCTTTGTTCTTGTGTTTTACTTTTGTTCATCTATTTCTCATTTCCCATGTGCTCTACTTCTAATAATTTGTCATGATCCCACAATTCTACATGATAGGATCCTAATTCGAAGCATTTAGGAACAACCGTGTGGGATGCGTCCATGGTGTTTGCCAAGTATCTGGTATGATCTTTCTTATCCCGCTTGAATTCAAAGATTATCCTCAGAGATTAACTTCTTGGAGTGTGTTATGTAGATTGGTAACTAGGGGATGACTTAAATATTCTTCTTCGGTGAGACTCTAATAGGTTCGGAAACAGTAAACTCCTTCTGATTCTATTTACCAAAGAACTACAACATAGAAGAGACTTGATTAACTAGGAAAGTTTCTAACTCTTGACCAATGCCAAAACCAAGATCCTAGACCAATATAGAATGATTTCAATGCATTCTCCTCGCCCCTTTAACCCTTTTGCTCTCAACTAACCCGTTTAAGGTCTATTGTTGAGCTGGCAAAGCTAGACTTCCTGCTCAACCCCTAGGTTAGTTACTATAGTCATGTACTAGACTTAACAAGGAAGCCTTGTATGACTTCCTGACGCTTAAAATATTTTCAGGGGAAAAATTGCAGGAAGGGAAGGTTTAGTCCATCTAAACTGAAAGGGAAACGTGCTATTGAACTAGGAGCAGGTTGTGGCGTTGCAGGATTTGGTACGTAATTACATGTATCTATTGATATCTGGAGGATTCTCTCCTTTCTTATGTATGGCTATATCTTTGCTTGAAACAGGAATTTTTTTTTTTTTTTTTTTTTTCTCTTTGAAACTGGAAATTTGGCATCTACAATTGGAGTTTGTGTTCATGTGTCAGCTTTGGCGATGCTGGGGTGTGATGTGGTTACAACTGACCAAAAGGAGGTATTACCACTACTAAAGAGGAATGTAGAATGGAATACGTCCACAATCTTGCAGATGACTCCTGGTTCAGGTTTGTGTCAATACTGTCTTCTCCAAGTAGCCAGCTCGCTTCTTTTACTGCTTGAGTCTGTGGTATCTATAGCTTTCTTCATTTTGTTATGCCAAGTAAAATTTGTAGAACTAACTCGCAATGTGAAGCTTACTTTATCAGCTACAAGAAAATATTGAGTTGTTGTCTAATGAAGTTGTCATTCCTTGTAGCATCATTTGGATCGCTCCGAGTTGCAGAACTTGACTGGGGAAATGAAGATCATATAAGGGCCGTTGGGCCGCCCTTTGACTATGTCATCGGTACTGATGTTGTAAGTTAATCGGACTCTTCAAATGATTCACTCTAATTGAATAATTTAGTGAGACTGATTTCATCCCAAGGTAGACTGACCTCACCTTAAATTTGTAAGGTATATTCTGAGCAGCTTCTGGAACCTCTATTGCGTACGATACTTGCGCTATCAGGGCCAAAGACAACAGTTATGGTATGAATTAAGATACTTATTTGATTTAAGATATCATTAAACTACAAGATCATTCGCTGTTGTTGTTTTATAGTTGGGATATGAGATACGTTCGACTGTTGTTCATGATAAAATGCTTCAGATGTGGAAAGACAACTTTGAAGTCAAAACCATACCGAGGTCCAAGGTACATTGATGCCACAGTCACTGTTAAAGTTTCATGAACTATGCACCCGCTTATTCTGGAACAAAATCTGCAGATGGATGGTGAATACCAAGACCCGAGCATTCATCTGTACATCATGGCACAGAAATCTCCTGCCGAGAGCTCTGGAAACGTGAGCCGAGATGAAGTTGTTATTGACACAGAAGAAACAAAGTGTGAGACGAAAGTCCCAACTGGAGAATGCCAGAACAGGGTGGAAGAGGAAGCTGTTGTTACACATGGTCCTCGTCTAAATGAAGATAGTTTGTTGATGAGACTACGGGACGGAAAGCTAAGTGAATGGGAGATGAGAAGGTATGGTACAGTTGCTGCACAGCTTCTCCGTGACGTTAAGATAGATGTTAAGGTGCGTATATACCATTGTTGTTATGAAATCTTTCAGTTTCTTATATAAAAAATAATTCTTGTGTAAATTTTCTTTGAATTTGCTTGTAGGTGAAAAAATAACCTTCCATTAGCGACTTTCAGAGCCTTGTTCCTCAAGATCCACCACTTTGATTTTTAGTTTTGGTATCAGGGACAGGGAGAATGTATACAATGAATTGATCTTGTAGACTTCTATTAATGATTTAGCTGTTTGTGCTACATTCCATATAAAAATCACAGTTAATTCTTGAGAGTTCGAACGGCCCAAAGTTGGATCTGAACAATGAACATGAGTCATTCTACATCCTAGTAAATAATTTGACTTTGGGCCATCAAAGAGACCGGCCCAATAGAGGATACCTTAATATTAGCGTTTCACTAAGCCTTACCGACACGCTGTGCATGTCAGAAAGCGAATACAAAAACGACAGGCTGTGCATGTTTAAAGAGTTAGAACGGTGGAAAGTGTGGAGTTTAGCCGAAAGTCCCACATCGGTAACAAGAAACAAAGGAGGGTTCTAAAACTGAGTATAAATAAGAGAGTCATGACTCAGTAAAAATCACTTACCTGGACGAGGTCAACTCGCGATCAAGAAGACGAGTGGCCTAGGCTAGTGACTTCCATTGCACATACTGGAAGGGTGCTATGCTTAAGGTCTTCCCTTGAGGAAGAGCCTACGTCATTATTTGTGGCAGAGGGGGTTTGCGTTCGCGCAGCCCCTACCATTTGATTCAGTGTTATAATGATTTTTTTTTAGCTAACAATAATCTTTCTAAAACTGATTCTATGTTATTAACAACAATAACGACTTATTCAACTTTAATCATATATATCATCAAGAAACAGACTATCTTGTTCCGATTATTCGACTAAACAGAAAAATTATTTAGTTGTATGCACAAACTCGGGTGGCATGAGCAAAAGAACACAAATAGCGCAATTGGCTACTTCCTCAAGCTGCGTTTAGGGTAGTAGTGCCGATAGTCTTGAGATCAAAGATCTCGATCCAGTAGCCATCAGGATCCTTAATGAAGGCTATATTCTTCATCTTTCCTGCAAGGTTTACATCAAATAAATGATTAAAAATGGACTCCCCAACAGAGTCGCAAAGAAGAATTTCAAATGTTTACTGGATTCAGCTGGTAAAAGTAGTACCATCGTTTGGTTTCTTGACAAACTCTACTCCCAATTCTTCAAATCTCCCGCATGCCTTGTGGACATCATCAACAGTAACCCCAATGTGCCCTGTAACAACAACAAAGTTTTTATTTTACATTTGTGTTAATATAGGACTTGCCGTAACTCAAGCCTCAATTTTTACGCTTATCAAATGGTTCATATTGTTGTTTTACATTCTAGCCCTCCCCTAAAACATAACCTACTGAAACTCTCTCTATTCAGTTAATTCTGAATGTAGAGAGATAATAAGATAGAGATATTTTTAGAAGTAGGTTACCAAATCCACGAGGCTCAGAGTTCCCATTGTGATAACCTTTAAACTCAGGATCACTCTCTGTACCCCAGTTGCTGCAAGAAAAATTCATATGTAAGGAACGTTCAATCCAAGAAAAAGAAAGAGAGAAATTAAGGCATTAGTATTTGTTTCTTACTGAGTCAATTCAATTGTTGCCGGTCGACCAAAGGTCCAAACAGTTCTCTCTGTTGGATCCGTTGGAGCTGTTGTAGTATCCTGTACCATACATAATAGTAAACGAATCAAACTCAGAATTTTTGCTACTCTCCACTAAAATCAGTAGGATTCAAGTACCCAAGAGAAATATATATATTCATCTAAGTGATCCACAACAAGAAAAATCAATATTTCAAAAACTAACAATTTAACTCAACTTTTCAATAAGCATTTAAAAACATCAATAGATTAAAAACACCAAAGGTCCAAATATTTAAAAACATCAGTGTTCTAAATTTTACTGTGCTGAAGCTTTGATGTATGAATTCCTGGAACATAAGTTAGATGCTTTAATCATGATGCTATGCAAATTGCAAAGTTCCATATGTTTTTGTTTTTCTAGGATCACCTCTAGCTTACTTAGTGAAGAGTATAACTAAGTAAGGGTGGGTCAAAATTCTACCTCGTAGCCCAGGAAGTACAAACTAAATTTCATCTCAGAGAAATCCAGCCTCTTGAGCAATCTGGAATAACGTAAAATATAAAGAACCGTTTGCTTCCCTGAGGACTTAAGAGGGAAGAGATGAAAAAACTTACGACATTCCCAGCACACGTGAGTAAAAGTCAAGACTAGCCTTAGGGTCCTTGATCCGAAACATCTGAGAGTTGCAAAAAGATGGAAAAATTGGAACAGTAGTATCAATTGCTGAAGTGGAAAATAGAAAGGAAACACAAAATCACTATCTTAAACAAAGAAGAAACAAGACGGATTACAACCCCCTAAACAGGGAGAAACAATACTCAAAAGTTAAAAAGAAAAATATTATAGGGGTACATTCAATCTCCTACTGCAATTTCTTTTCAAATGGAAGCTACTTTGATGTTTATCATAGTTTTATCCATAATTACTAAAGTGTCAAATAGTATGCTAAGATCAAGTATAAAGATTTAGAGCAGATTCAAGCATAGAAATACGATTACCTATGAGCCCCAAAAAAATGCAACTTTCGATATCAACACAAAAATTAGGGATCAAGCGAATCGCAAATCGAAGCAGAGGAAACTTACAGTCTGTTGCATGATATATCCTTTTGTAGCCTCATCCCGAATCGTTGACAAGCCAAGGTTGTTAGCTGGTGATTCCCTCGCTTCAGATGCCATAGAAAACACACGAAGCTGATCAAATCTCTACAAAATTGAACAGACCCAGGTGATTAAACCAACACACATAGTCCAAATAAACGATTCTTCCAAAAAAGCATAAACCTTTGGCCTCTGGGTTCTGTTCCAAGGGCGAGTGATGAAAGAAAACTCGGCGGAATAAGGTTTAACGAAACGGATTAAAGGCGAAATTCGAGTAATAGCACTTGCTACTGAGTATGTACCCATTACGTTTCCTTGTATTAACGGAAGAATTAAAAAAAAAGGAAAGGAGAGATTTTTACCGCTGCAAAGCTTATACCATGAAGTGACCAAAAAGCTGTGCGTGGAAGAGTTTCGGAAAAAAAAAAAACTTTTTGTCACTGCTCAAATGCGTTTTGTGTCCACAGACGACGGGATTAGTAGCAAAAACGACGTCGTCTCATATAGCTGATCAATTATTATTATTTTTGCTAAAAAATTGATCAAATTAATTGTGTTGTTTGTTTAGCACTGTGGCCGCGTATCCCTAAAGAGGGTTTGGAACTGCGAGAGCGATCGGAGGAGTGTTTATATGATGGCCTTCACTTGTGGACATGACCAAAGGTTGGAAATCGTTGCCTTATATATGAACAAGACATAAAGTCTTTGCACCAAGGATCTTCATTCTTTGTTTGATGTCGTTTCCTTTTCTATTTTTGACATGTATATATATCATGCTTTTCCGAAAATTGTTCCGGTTTCAAAGACAATTCAAGTATGGGTTCTTGGATATGGAGAAAAATTCTCAAATACAGAGTTGTGGCAAAGAATTTCTGTAAGGTGGCTTTGGGTAATGGAGAGCACACATCTTTCTGGTATGATCACTGGTCTGGACTAGGTCGACTCATTGAGACTGCGGGAGCAAGGGGTGTTATTGATCTGGGGATAAGTAGAACAAGCTCGGTGGCGCAAGCTTGGACTACTCACCGGCGACGAAGGCATCGCTCTGTTTTCTTAAATGAAACAGAGGAGGCTCTGTTTGATTTTGGAAAAAAACGGAGTGGTGAGGAGGACGCAGTCTTATGGCGATCAAAAAATGACAGCTTTAAACCACAATTCTCGACGAAAGATACTTGGAATCACATAAGAACAACTTCGACCACAGTCACTTGGCACAAAGGTGTATGGTTTTCAAATGAAACCCCTAAATACTCTTTTTGTGTATGGCTTGCAGCTCATGATCGGCTTTCTACGGGAGATCGCATGCAAAGATGGACTGGAGGTGGATCGGGACTATGCATCTTTTGCAAAACGTGCACAGAATCTAGAGATCATCTATTTTTCTCGTGTGCTTACACATCGAAAGTATGGGCAGCTGTTGCCAAAGGTTTATTCAAAGCAAAATACACGACAGTGTGGTCTCAGCTCATAGATCACATTTCAAACTCTCAGCAAGACCGGGTGGAGAGGTTCCTCACAAGGTATGTTTTTCAAACAACCGTCTACATGATTTGGAAGGAGAGAAATGGCCGTAGGCATGACGAACAACCGCACGCAGAGAACATCCTCATGGGCTGGATTGATAAGCAAATACGAGACCAAATTTCTATGATCCGAAGAAGGGGAGATAGGCGATACGACGAGGCGTATCAACAATGGCTCCTAGCTCGGAACTAAAACTCTAAGGCGATCGTTATTTCATCAAAAATTATTTAATTCACTCTCAAATTAAAGTTGCACTTGGTTGTACAAACGTTATTTTTCTTTTGAATATAATTTAACATTAGATTCAAAAAAAAAAAAAAAAAAATTGTTCCGGTTTTAACTCTGCTCCGGTCCATGAAACTCCTTAATTTATCAAGACACGATGGTAAAGAGAAATATGTTATCAGAAGTCGACACAAACAACGATCAAGTTTCCAGAGCGAGAAACTTTGATACCATATAGAAAGACTTTTCTTTTTCTTTTTCTTTTTTCTTTTTAACAAAAAAGTGTTTTTGTTTTTGTTGCTAAATTGTAAATATTTCATAGATAATAAATAAAGACTTTTCTTATAGTCAATTAAGAAACTAAACGTGCACATGAGTATATTATTTGTCCAAAAAAACAAAAAAAAAAGAGTAGATTATTTGCTGAACAATGTAGTTTTCAAGTAATGAATTTTGGAAGATATACATAGATAAATTGAGGAGGTAATAGATTAGACAGAGATGATGAAGGAAAATCAAATCTCCTTTTCCATTATACGGACACTCTAAATGGTTAGGGCTATACTTTTCTTGATAAACAAAAAAAACTCATACGTTGTCAAATGTCGTCATTATCAATTTATAAATAAATAAAAAAAGTTGTCGTCATTACGTTCTTTTTTTTTTTTAATAAAGCATTACGTATTTTTTTACTATCACGTTGGATTGAAGTGCTAAGCTTGACCTATATATAGCTTAGCGTATTGTATTAGTGAACCAACCAATCTAATAATCGGATTATAT